ATGGGTCTACGTGTTAACCTGAACAGAGACTCGAAGGATGTAGTGCTATTTTTTTTTCATTTACCATTTGTGACCAATAGCTATGTTTCCCAGACTCACGTTAGAACTTTGTAGTACAAAGGCCTACGATACTTACGTGATGTTTCCCGGAGATACATAGGAAAGTAAGCCAGCTATTCAGGTATTTCATACGACTTCCCATTGACATTAATAACATCAGAAACTAGCTTTTCTCCGCATTCACCGCAACCCCCCCCCCCCCCGCGCGCCAAGCACGAAGTAGCACAGACAGAAAAACAAATACGCCGATCAGATTACGAAAAAATTATTATTATAAACAGAAGAATATTCTTCACAAGCAAGGGAAGAACCGATTTATTGTTCTCAAATCACCAAATGAGCGTGTTACTTGTTAATGAGTGGTGACCAGTTCCGTATCTCGTTTTATACGACCAGCTAGTGATCATCGGAGAGATGTCCCACATTAGGGCAGTTTGTTCCGTGCAAAAAATTACAGTCGAAACTGTGGAAAGGGATTCTGTGGAGCTTTCTTTTCGCAAAGAAATCGGTCGTCACTGCAGCGTTCTAGTTACAGGTTTCGCAGTTGGCAAATTCGGTTTAAACGATGCGGGCTGGTGGATTTAAATGTGCCGCCTTCACAGGGGGCGCGCAAGACATTTTTAAGCTCACTGAATGTTTTGAACTTGGGGTTTTACTGTTACCTCTTTCTCGTTCTATTGTCGACACTTTTGTCATTTACTGTCATTATTGTCGCAACTTTAATAGCAGTCGACCAACCATTAAGATGTAGCCAAACGCATTGACACGACCTCAATAGAACAGAGCCGAAAAGGAATTTTGAAAAAAATCGGCAGCGATTGAAATGGCGATGGCAGCTGACGCGGACAGAATGGAAGTAATTATTTAGGGTGGCGGCTCCAACTGAAGCCAGATTTCTATGGCAATAGACAGAGTGGTGTGCAATTAATTAAAGTACCTCGTATTTGTGGCTTTGTACACGGAATACATTGAATACTAAACGTAAATGCCGCAGATCTGATCCAACTTTTATCCCACAATACGGGTGATGACGAAGTTTAAATATAAAAGGGCTACTAACGATAGAAACCCTCAGATCTGGTAGGAGTACCGATAAAAGCCGGAGTCCTTTTAGTCTTCGTGCCTACACGCTACAACTAGAAATAAGTAATTCTGTTGATTGGTACAGAAACGGAGCGCCCATTCAAAATGTCCAATATATGTTTTGAGTACAAGTTCGAGATTACAAGACTAGTTATCAGACATTTTTAAACGAGGAATAGGTCTAGAATAGTGAGCGGAAAAGCAATACGTAATGCAAGGCTTGCACCAGTCAATTTGCTCGCATATGGGGTACGAGCCAGAATAGTCACTGTGAGTGTGGTCCACATATAATTTTACGCTGTCTTAACTGTAAAATCAATTATTCATTACACTAGGGCCAATGAACTAACAGCTACAAAATTACAAGTTACGGTATAGAATACATGTGTTGCGTTCAGCGCACTCTTTAATACGTATAAAAAAAAAAAACTGAAACCAGATCGGCAGACTGATCAGAGATCGATCGCGTGCTGAACGGACCAAACGCCATTACGTCAGTATAACAAACAGCGCTTTATATAGATTGCTTATCAACAAGATTGTGGTGCGGCGAATGCCAGTTTGCCAGTCATGGGCACATCTGTAAGTTCAACTTAGTGCCGCCCACTCAACGGCCGAACTTGTCAGGAACTTAGATATATGTATATGTCCAACGACCTTTGTTGGACACTCGTAGCAATGATTGTCCACTCGACAAAGATTATTATTAATAACGTTTGTTTTAGCCTTAATTACCTTAATTCAAAGGTAGAGATGCTTATTTTTATATACAATGTTATACCAATACGGTGATACTTTCTAGTTGATCTGCTTTCTTAAAACTGACCTAGTAGCAATCTGTACTTTTGTTAATCTTATTTCAAAAGAGGCAAAGATATGAAAATTTTCCTGATGCTACTTTTGAATTGTATTGCTTGCTTTATTTACTCTCTATACAAACTCAAGTTGCAGAATGTATCAATCACTATCTATCCCACTAATAATGACTGTTCAGCTCAAAAGTTGCTTGACGAGCATGGGGCAAAATGCCACCGTTAGGTATATAAGTAATAGATGCTGCTACAGATAAATGGCGGCCTGTAAGAGCGTTTCTCTTAGAACGCTATCCAAATATCTATAGAGCGTGTGAGTGGATTAGTCAAGGAAGCTAGTTAAACGCTCAAAACGTAACGTACGCTTCATTAATCACACTCACCATTTATTTCTCATACAATACGTTTGTACCCGGGTATGCTGACGGATAAACACTCACTATTTATGACTTAAGTGAGGCAGTATTTCAAAAATCGGCCTACGTTGGTTCTGCCACACAAATACTTGCCTATGTGCCCCAGTAGCTGCAACAATGAGCTGCCTTTACCGCCACTACTAAGATCGATACTTGCTCGAAGAAGGATTACTCGACGGCTCATTCTGTCGCCGGCGAAATGCATTGATTTGAGTCGAGGAGACATTTGTAAATGCTTTCAAGCCCTTGAAATCGTTTTGTTACGGAAGGAACGAATAGAGATAACAAGATATCGTCGATGACAGCATCGTCAATTGGATTTCAGTCATCCAGGGCGCCATGTCATGTGTCTATTTTCGAGTCCAGAAGGCCAACAAGCGTTGTCAGCCACTGAAAGTCTATCGAGGTAACAATTTTTTTGCTTTACTCGTCAGGAGCCGTTGTTTTAATATGATTCTAATTTTCAAAAGCTTTCGTTTTATTCTTCGTGATAGGCAAAAGACACTCAAGCACATGATTTCTGATGGCTGACGTCACGCACAACGAACAAAATCGAAGTGAGTAAAGAACACCCACAGTATTCCCGAAGTCTGCCCAGGCCATCACTATCTGGGACGCCCTGCACTAGAAAGACCAATTTCCGTTGTTTTCTTATTTTACGACCCAGTTCGTGCACAGCACAAATGAGGCTGAATCAATGAATCACTGGCAGTCACATTGACTTTCGCTCGGCCTGGCTCTGTCTCAGCAGTAGTTCTGGCTGTCGTAACATGAGTAACAGCGGCCATATTTAGAGAGCCTTTTACCAGAGCAATAATTGAGGTAGAGAGGAAAATAAATTCGCTGGACGCTAAATTGCTATCAATTAACGATTGATTAAGTGTCTATTATAACCGTACCGTGTCTACGTAAATCGTTTGATTGATGCAATCTAATGTGGCCGCAGTTGGTCAAAATGCAGCATTGGAGATGCACAATCCGTTTAGAGATATGCACTCGTCTAGCCATACAAAATATTCCATGCTTGGCACATTTATTTATTATCTTAAAATTTCAAGCTGGAAGCGAGAGAGTAATTATGAAATTATTACAAAAAAAATTACGCTCCCTCTCTCTCTCTCTCTCTCTCGAGCCGAACTAAGTTCGTCCGCCATAGACACAGAGGCAATTTACGTTAGATCACAGTAAAGCATCTTCCATGGACAGTTAAATATCTCAGCTCCACCCTGCATTCGGCCAGAAATCATGTTCACGGTGTACAACACACAAAAATAATCGTTACATAATATGTGACATTCATAAAACTAGACATTAGTAAGTATGTTTAGCTTTACGAATTTCGTATACCGTGACCGTTTCAACGCTTCCTAGCGTGCTATAAGCAATCGCTGAAGCAGTCGACAATTTAATCAGTATAAACATAGACGAAGTACGTGATGGAATGATTGACTTTCCGCAAAGCTACATGTGAAGCGCCTACAGTTACGCACACGCACTTCTTATCCTGTAATAAACACACGGTGCTCAGAAGAACGCATCACCATGAACAGAAAACACATCAGCAGTGACTTATAGAATAACACGACAATTCAAAAGACCAGCAGTTTCCATAGAAGATTCGCTAATCATATCAATCATTTTACCTGAATCGGATCGAAATTGGGACACATGAGTAAAAGAAGAGTTCTAACAAGCGGAAACACGGTCGCCATGTTTCCGTAGAGGCGCAGTGTTTGCCTGCCGAGCTTAGGGGCATATGGTAGTTTGGATTTGAATTCGCACGGAATTACATTTTGTTTTGTGCCGAACGCCAGCCGTCTAAAGTAACGCCTAACGATTCAAGCACTACAAGCAAGAAACACTATCAAATCCGCTTGTCGAGCGCTATGTATAGTACTTGGTAAGTAAAGAGCCCAATGTTTTATATAGTGAAGCAAACTCAATTAACACTCCATAAACTGACCGCCGAAGCAATCTCAACTTCTGAACAGGCACTACGATTTAGTGATAGTATTTCTCTGTCTTTCAGCAGCCCTACCCGAGCAGATTACCTTCAAACAGCTTTATAACGAGAATAGCTATGATATCGCGTAAGCCATCTTAGCGTAGCGATCATCTAGTACATCGAAAAAAAAACCCGCAAATTCACTAACGATCTGAATAGCTAATGATAATTGCGGTCAACGACCGTCCGTGTGTCTTCCTGACGGCCGGTTGCTCTAACGCCACGCAGCCGCTATCAAAACAGACATTCTCAGCCGCGTCGCATCGTCATTTTATGTATGCGATGATACATAGTACAGGGAAGGGCAGCGCAGAGGTCCGCACATAAACGACATGTGTCCATCGCATAACCGAACGAGATGGACAAAAGCCGAGCCTTATGATGTAAACACGAGATTATGAAGCCTATTAGTCCACATGTGCATGCGTGTAAGTCGACATGAGTGAAGGAAAGGTATTATCTTAGAACAGGTTTACAGGGGCAGAGAAGAGACGATAACAAACGTCAGTAGCACACAATCGTATACACATGTGCTGTGGGAAAACATCAAGTCGTAGTGAATCCAGCTGTCCAGCTTTTGCTCAACACAGTATGAAAGTAAACAGTATCTGGACTTTAACGTACCTGAGCGAGCTAGACACAGCCGCGGTTGTCCAGCAACACCGAGAAACCAAATGAGGCAGAGTACGACCAACTCCCCTCGGAGTCTTTTTCGATGGAGTTTTAACGGGGAGCACATTGCTTTCCTTCTCGGCTTGCTCCTGCTGCTGCTGCTGTCCGCTGGCTCGAAGCCAGGACAGCCGTCCGCCTACGCTGTTTTCACCACCCGTGCAGCAATTGAGCAGGAGGTTCGCGATGCTGCTGTTGCTGTTGTGCTTCTCGTTGTTGTTGTCGTCGTCGTCGTCGTTGTTGCTGCTGCTGCTGCTGCTGCTGCTGCTGCTGCTGCCGCCGCCGCCGCCGCCTTTAGTATTACTCTTACAACTTCTACAGATTCTATAACTTCCACCGGAGATAGTGGTACTTCTAGCTGAGACATCATCACCGTCATCACAACCAGCATCATCTTTTGGTCTCACATTCACAAACAATTAATTACGAGCTGGCAAGAACGAACAGTTTCCACGCAGCAAACAAACGTAGAGCGAAAACACCTCCAGACGAATTGTTGACTCAGAGAAATACACGAAACGTACACACTCTAAAGCACATACAGTTACTGTGGCTCAATCAAAAAAAGAAGAGGTAGCGATAATATAATTCCAGAGTGCACCGTAGTTTGCTTCTTCTTCGGACATATATATATATATATTTATATATATATTTGTAGATGGATACTTCCTGCGATCATACAAATATCACGATTCGCACACTGAAATGGGTAATGACGACAAACGATCTCCAATAGTGGGGTCAGTAGCGTACACTAAGAATCGTGAAACGCCAACGAATGAAAGGCTGATATCGACGATGGAGGCTGACCACTGAGATAATGACGAAAACGAAGAAGTAACTCACACCCCCGTTCATACGCACAGTTCTTCATACAAGAAAAAGGATCGACCGAGGAGAATAGTACATCCAAATCAACTAGCCAGCCACTGAATAACCACCGTCGCAGCCCCTACTAAGACAAGCACGATTGACGCACGCGGCCCCTTCGTATGCTTTACCTTGTTTTACTCAATTGTACCGAATAAAATCGGATCTGCTCGTTGCTACATCGGTGCTTTTGTTGCGGGGGAATCCCTTGTATTGTAGCTGTTGGAAGTTCTTTGTCGTTTGGATAAACATCTAAACCTGACGGTGATGATGGTAATAGAAATAACGATCTACAGTATAACTACAAAGTACCTATATGTCGATTTTCGGATGCGCTCTGCTGTCGCCGTTACGCCTCGATGATCTCCGAGAAGAGACGGGCCCGACAGCAAAGGCCACAGTTAATTAAAATGCTGGTGCTATTTATGAACTCTGTCTTCCCGATTTTGTGTTGCTATAGGTTCCGTTAGTTGCTGCCGTTGCGACGCTGCTCCTGCTGCTGTTGATTGTTCTAGTGGCACTGTTTGTGGACGAATCAATGAGCGATGGGGACGCAAATAACTTCGGCACTCTCTTTCTCAACGGCTGTGGGAGGCCGAGAGGACGAAGACGACAAAAACAGCTACAAGTTTCTGTTACCACTTCGGCATCGTCGGTCAGAATCGTCACACTAGACTTCAGCTGCTCGACACTCAACTGAACAGACAAAAATGCACTCGAGAACCATCGAGGATAGCTGCTGGTTCGTCTGCACCTCTATCCCTGCTGCTTTCGCACGCGAGCGGCATCCACTACTAGTACTAGAATTATTCCTATTTCGAGCCTTTTGGTTGTTTTTGTCACCAGCGTTTCTTGTATTTAGCACAGATTCACTTTACTCAGAAGTCTAATCAGAGTTCAAACACTAACTATCGGGCGGCCTTTCTCTCACATTGAATATAATTGGCACTGACGATGCTGCTGCTGCTGCTGCTGATGATGTCTGCGGCGATGGTGTCCGTCCGACCAGGACCGAACGGACCTCGTCATCGAAATGGCAGCAGCAAAAGCAGGACGATGACGGACGCAGCTTCTTTTCGGCAACAGCAACTTTGGCTCCGATGGTCGTAGGAGTTACGGTAGCAATAGTTGTTGACGCTGCTGCTGCTGCTATTTTTCTTGTGATAGTAACAACAGCAGCATCAGCATGAGTAGTAGATAGTAGTACGGTGCTGTGTTGGGTCGTAAAGCTTGCTTCTCATACACACAGACGGACGGACGGACGGACGTACGCACGCACACATACATACACTGCCTACCTAGATGCACTGCACTGCACTGTTTGCTGCTGCTGCTGCTGTCACCAGCCGCAGGCAGCAAGCAAACCCCCAAGGAGCACAATCAGCTCCCGATTCGACACTCAGTTCTTTGTCGACGATGAAGCCGAACTACTGCAAACACAATCGGCACACGTCAGGTTCCTCGATAGCATCACACCGTTGACGATACTGCTGCTGCTGCCGCCGCTGCCGCTGCCGCTGCCGCCGCCGCCGCCGCAGTCGTCGCCTTCGTTCGGCAACCGCTGCTGCTGTTCTGGCTACAAATCGCCCGACTAGCCCACACCGCCGTCCGTTTGTTCTGTTCTGTGTGTGACTGTGCTGCCTCCTATCTTCCTGTGGGTATCTATCTGAACCTATGCGCATAGGTTCTTCTAATAGTGTGCGTCTCTGGCTGTTTGTGTATATATGTATGTGTGTGTGTGCGCGCGTGCGTGCGTGCGTGTGTGTGTCTGTGTGTGTGTGTGTGTGTGTGGCTGTCTGTCTCGCAGTCTATCTGTGTATGGCCCTCTGTCTATGACCGTCTGTGAAGCGCAAGTGAAAAAGAAGAAGAACTAGCATCGCCAGCCGAAACGCAGGCCGACAGAGGGAAAGCGCATGCGCGAGGGGTAGTGGAGCAAACCAATATGGCTGAAAATGAGGGTAATGGCGCTTAGCCGTTCATAGTCGGTTAAGGCGGCAAAACTATGTCTATGCATGTATCGCAAATTATGAACGTCATTAGGTATTGCAGCTAGTACACACGGTGCCTATTTCGAAAGAGAAAAGGCTGGCAGGCGAACACGTTGACTTCACGTTACTGTCTCCTTGATCAGCGTAAAGCCGAGTGGTAAAGCCGACATACAACGAACGAGCTTGATACAGATCAGTGTGTATCTTTTCGGTAAGGAAATAATTACAAAGTAAGCGTGTGGTATAAATCGATTTCAAACAAGGTCAACTATAAGAGACGTGCTCAGTCAAAGTAGTCGATAAGTTAAAGGTTTAGGGCAGTTGTATGCATTTATCAGTTTTAAGCAGTATTCGTTATCCATGGTATGTTTTGTCCAACAATGTGGTCATAATTCGACCGAACATTTTCGTGCTTTTTTTATTGTCTATCCATCCAATACCCACACCTAAGGCTTAATTGCCATCAGCCTGATGAAAGGTGGCAAAAAATTGAGCTTGCTAGCGAAGCTTGTGCCTTGAACACGACTACCTGGGGTCTAATCATTTTAGCTTATCGAAGATACGATACGTATTCGACGTATTGGAGAATGCGTGTCTCGCTATCACCCTTGTGTCTAGGCATAGAAACAACGCACACATAGAAGAAACGAAATCGACGAGCTGAATGTATCGACTGTATTTGGCTCACTAATTAGTTGAACATTAACATTTCCTTTTCCCAGTTGCGTTACTGTTTTCTTACTTCCGTATTCGCGCTTCAGTCGGTTAAACGGTCTTAGGGGTATGTCACGCTAAACTGAAAATAGAATCGACCGATTTCAAACGTTCCGTTGCTTTAAGCTAACTTGGAATATTAAACGTACATAATTACTTTTTAATAACAAACTCAGAAATACTACATAGAGGCACTACAGCCTTGATTTGTATGCGCACGCGCGGAGTGAACTAAGACGGTCCCGATTTTTATACTCTGTGGTCACTCATGCGTTGCAGATTTATGCTATGCTTACTTGCAATCAAGTTTTTGCCTATAAATTAGCTGTAACTGATTGCTTCTGCTGTTTCAAGTTTTCGAAATAAATAATTTGCCACACTTAATTCTATTGAGTATTACAGAAGAACGTATGATTTATCAGGTTATTGTTTAGTAAGACAATTTCAGCAAAAGTATTTGAAATAATCTATGCATAAGTTACAAAAGTTGCGTGCTTTTTTACGTACTACTTTGTAGAAAATCAACGAGCATACTCTGGCCGCTTTTTACGGCATATTGATTTGTCATAACCGAATCGAGACCAAGCGTAGATGTCGCGAAGGTGTTCCCGTCATTTGTATTGACCCAAAAACAAATATATCTTACCTGCGTTTAATGATCAAAACACCTTTCTTCTAGACGTTTCATTTACTAAGCTCAAATAAAAAGTATTCATTATTCCGTTGTTTATTATTTCTTATAACTAGGCGAATCGGAGAACTATAACTAGGGCATATGACGCGTTTTTGGGGCATGCTTTGCGCTGTCTACTAGGCAGCGGTCTACCGTCGTTAATTCTCCTGGTGAAAATTTGATATTTATAGGTTTTTACGGTTTGTCAAGAGGCATGCCTTACTACTGAGCGTACGTAACGATGTTTTTAGAAATCATTTAGGCCTAAGATATAGTTACTCTAACTTTACGTTTAAGAAAAGCAATGACAATATCGCATATCTTTAATTGCTCCATGTGGATAGCAACTGTTTCTGGCTAAACCTTTACTAAGACAACGTCAATATTCCGATGTATAGGGAGAATAACTGGCAAGCCTCTGGGTTAGTTAGTTCAAAATGTATAGAGTTATGGTTCGAACAATAATGAATTCTGAAGTCGAGGAAAGACGCCATTCGATCGTCGTTATCATCTCTCATAGTCGTCTCTGGTATTTGTAGGCTTTCAAAATTAAATGCAGCAAACGTCAGATGCTTGGATCTAGTGCCGTCATCCGTGGCCGACCGTAAACCGCTCACAAACTATTCAGGTTACAGTCCCGAGTTTATGCATCTTCCGTCCTATCTTAAACTATATTGTTGTACAGACAATTTTTATTAACTGATATTCTACCGGGTTTGGACCAGCAACTTCTGGCTCCCTAGAGCAATGAACTAGTCAATGAACGTATCCGCAAAACAGTGATTACAGCGCTTGTCGTCGTAACGAACCCAACAAAAGTTCCGAATTTTTTCTTACATGCCTTAAGATGGGCCGAAGAATTCGCCAAAAAACCTATAGATGTCGACGGTCAATGTTGATAATTGCACAGATAGTTCGATATAGATCAATGTGTATGAAGCCAGTTGCCACCTGGCTTTCAAAAAATTTATGCATGAAGGAAACTGTAAGATCTTCAATAGGGTTTAAATTTAAAAGCCTTGAAAATTTCTTCTGATATTTTAGGGTTTTTGATAAAAATATTAGCGTTTCAGAAAGGACACCATTTAGCAGACGAGCTTCAACGGTTAGTGTTTTCGAGACTCCTTGTACCTGTTATTATATTTTGGGCACGCGTTTTCGGTAGTGCTGATGTGATGTCAGCCCAGATTCTAGCAGAAATATTTTGAAAATGATTAATAAAGTGGTTCTACCCCAAAAGCTATATATCTGGCCAAGACGAATGCAAATTGTATTAAACAGACATAGATATCACGACTATACATTGAGCAGGCTAGAAAAAAAGTTCGTCGAAATATTGCTTTTTATTTAGATACATTTGTTAGAAACAGCTCGTAGGAAAAAGTCCAGTTTTAAAGCCAGCACTTTATACACAGAATATAGCACCTAAGATATGTATGTTAACAAATTTTTCTATATCCGAGAAAACTGGATAATAGCTCATTTTCATTGAAACTGCGAAGGCGGCGGACCGCTTTTATCACGACGAGTTTTACGTTGAAAAAATAAGAAATTTTCTTCTAGTACTATGAATGCTGGATCAAGACAGGCTCGATACGATAAACAACCCGCTGACGTTTGTCCAGATTTGAATGCCGGACCCTGTATATATATAAGGTTTGATTGGGTTGTTCACTATAACAGCCATCCGCTCATCCGCCGTTGCTGGTACCAAAAAAGGCCAAGTATTTCTAGAATGAAACCGTAACTAAAGCCATGCCTCGTTTTCGCAAAGTGAGCGATGACCAGCTATAATCCAATCCACCCATGTGAAACGAACCTCAGCGAGATCCTCTCATTTTTAATAATAGCTTTTTAGAATATAGAATAGAATTTTTATAGAAAAAAGTAATAGCTTTTTCATAATAATAATGATGATAGGCTCATTAAGTTGCCTGGCTAAGGTCACACTTTTACATTTCTCAAAAGTGAAATTTCCCAAAACATAAAGTACGAGGCTTTAAAATGGCCAAAAAGGTGATTTTTTTTAGCCATTTTAAAGCTTAATACTTCATAAAGTATTAAGCTTTAAAATGGCTTCTATCAGCCCACAACTCAATTTCGTTGTTTTTTTTTTGTGTAGGGCGTATCTGACCGCTCAATTAACGACTTTACATTTTTCAATATCGCTTGACGCGTGGTTATTATCCGCAGATTAGAGGAGGAATATTTTGGAAATGATTAGTGAGTGATTTTAGCCTCAAACTGATGCTGTAGCCGACTTGAACGGAGTACTATTAATTAAATATGACTATTAGAAACGGCTTGTTTGAGTTTATAAATAATTCCGTTGAAGTATTTGTTTCGATTTAGATACAGTCCCGGAAACAAAATATGAGAAAAATCCGATCCGCATCGAAAATATATTTGCATAAACTCACGGAAATAGATGGATGTTCCAGTTTTGTATAAATAACTGCATCTGTCATGACGCGCACATAAATCGACAATGACAACAACTACTAGTGCATAGTATTACTCAGCAGTAAGAAATTGCAATTTTTCAATGCAGTGTTTATCAGTTAAATTGAAAATGCAACACATTAGTGTCACCTCGTGGTATTGAAATTAAAAAAAAAAAATGAACATCGATAGAAAAGTACATCATTCAAGCCCATTTGTTTCCTTCTCTTCAAGTTACGCGCAGTTCAGTAGCAAATACCTGACCATGATCAATTAGCCATTTATTTATATATTCATTTATATATTAAGGAACCTTCATGCCGTTACGACCCGTGTAAAGTCAGTAGCCTACAAAAAGTGCCTAACGTTACCTTTTATTCGATGAACGTGAACGAACTCGCTTTATAACGAATACATGTAGCAAACTGCGAGGCTTTTTTATTGAGCCTATATTAACTGAGGACAGCTTCATTGTTATATATAATAATAATAATAATCTTTAGCTAGTTGAGAAAGTGCCGTTGGTATTTTATTTTTGAGTTATATTAGTAATACACCCTCACAAATATTAACTCACCTTCTTGCTTTATTTAGCTTTTCACAAGTCCTTACGCGACGCATCGCAAGCATAAAAGCTTCTTCCTTAGGTAGCGGATCACTCTATTTCAGGCTTAGTGGTTAAACAGAAAGGTAGGGTTTAACATAGCTGCGATGGTTATGCATCCAAACCTTACCACTGCCCATCATCGTTCTCCAACAGCATCTCTAGTTTCTTATAGTAGTAGCATAATACTCATTCCGTTTGTATCTAATATTTCCCTAGTACTAAAAACGTACGATTCAGTTGTGGTAATCTACAGGCAGCATCTGACGGCATCCTGACCATATAAAAATGTCGTTCCCTAAAGAACAGGAAGTAAGATCGCACGCCATCGTTTCCTATTTTAATAAAATCGTATTGACTTGTTTGTACAAAAAAAGAATGGTATAAATTATCTTGTGGATTAAAAAAAAATCGAATATAACCTGTCTACGCTAACCATAAATGCTCAGACAGCTGCGACCCTCAATAGTAGTCAGGCGATTTTTGGTAATTACCGGTAAAAAGTACTTGTCGTGAACGAAGTTATCTGACGATATACATCAAGAAGAGTCGAGTCGCATTCAACTTATTTCATGGGAAAGAATTCCATTGTCGATCTATGAAGGAAGTTATGATGCAAAAAATGCTATGCCCAACATCTGAGAATGAACATTGCTTCCAGAAAAGTTAATTTAGAAGATCTTTAGTTGATCTTGCCTCATAATTTAGTGCTTTCCAAAAAAGGTAACTAAAAGAACAAGCATCCGATGAAGCTTTTCAAGTTTATCGAAATGGAATCACCTGGGGAATGAGCCCGCGGCCACTGGCAGCCTTTTGGAAGAAATCCTAAAAGAACATAAATATGACTGTCTTCTGAAAGAGCTGTAATTCTTAGCTCAGGATGTGATGGTTACGAGACATTTTCTTCCAGGCTGACAAGGTCTCAGCGTAATTCATCTGACAGGAAAAAGTTGTCATACAAGCATTGTTTTTTAATAGTCTAAATACTGACATATACGAGATTACAACTCGTTTAAGCAGCAAAGAAAAGCCATTCTTGAGACACACCCGAGAATTTCTGTCAGCAACGAAGCTAGATAATAAAACCGAAAACCTTTAGAATCCTAAAAAATAATGCCCTTTTTGCAGTCACTTTGATGAATCCTGGCGCTTATTCCTAAAATCCATGCTAGAAGAAGTATATACTATTATATATATATATATATATATATATATATATACTTCTTCTAGCACTTATATATAAGTATATGTATAGGTGCATCTTCCTTTACATCCCAATGCAATGTATATGCATTTAGGTAGGCGGAACGAGCCTTTACTCGTGATTCGATTACCAAATAAGTGAAAAAACTATTTTTCCGTACACCCTATAGTACGCGTAATAATAATCAAACTTTTTATATTAATGGTTTTTTCTGCTATGATCCACTTCATTCTTCGATTTTCCATCAGGTAAAAGTATTGTTATACTATAAGCATTAGCACTATGGTAACATATCATATTCAGGTTTCATCTGCATACAATCCACATACATCTATGGCCGTTGCTAAGGAACGGTTTCCTTCTTTTAACACGGGAATCGTGTTCGACCCGTATACAGTTACGCATACTCAGAGATCACAACATCTTTTAAGAACACCATCGATTCGCTTTGGCGACAATAGCGGTACAGGAGTGCTGCTAAGCTAGGATAAGACAGCTTTATCGGTGATACCATGGCAGTTTACACTGATTATAAGTTCAAGAAAAGGCCAAGTTTTTTTCATTGTTAACCAATTCCCAATATACATGAAAACATTATATATATATATATATATTAAATGGGTGGGATACAAATTCTGGCATTTCAGCAACCTAGTGGCTCACTGGCAATAATCGTAACTTCACTTAACTACAGTTAATTTCTATTCAGTATCGCGAACTTCATCACCACAGTTGTTCTGGTAGACTCATTAGTTTTAGCGTGCTTGCTTAATGTTTTCAATCTGGTTCAGGGCACGGTGTGATACACATATATTTTAATTGGCTTTTTTTACTATCTTATGAAATGTTGCTACGTTTTCCCAAGCCTGAAGTGGGTCATGGTGATTGACAATATTTACTTGATCGTAATTAACTTGGAGACGATGGCGTCTATCTGATGATCTGCTCCAACGGCTTCGGTAACATTTGTGTAACCATCTTCCTTGAGACACTTCACCATCTCAGCTTTGATCGTCTCGACTACTGGTGGACCCCTGTGATTAAAAGGCATCGAAGCACGGCATATATTTGGGGCTTAGACCTATTAGCAGAAGCCTACCCGCTAAATATTTATTCCTTTTGGCTAGGGGTCATCTTATTGGAATAGGATCAATATCGTCGACACACAATGGATTAAATTGAAAAAAGGATATCACCGTCGTGAATTTAACAGGAAATGCCAGTTTTCTTTTCGCTATCAAAAAGAGCTTTTCCAGTTCAACTTAGTACATTTGTCTCCTACACTTGGTACAGACAAAATATTTGAATATTTTTAGTTATTTTAGGTTACTAAAATAACTTGGAACATATCCTTAGCTAAGTCGTTCTTTTAATAGCGTAAGCTCTATTTGTGAGGAGGTTCGATGATATATGTCTAGACGATGGCAGCAATTTGGTCTGCACTATTTGTAAAAAAACTGTCCATTTACCATACTTCTTACGGCGGCTCTTGTTGAACTATAGTGTGACTTTGCTGAATATTGAGCTAGAGGCTGGAAAATAATTGCGATGAGTTATTAAAGAAAAGGTACACAAAAGTTCTACGACTATTATTTAAGTAAGTTTTTTGTTCTATTTGTATGTGGATCAGTCCGTCAAAAACATTAACCTTAACCACTTAGGTATTTCAATCACGTCAAAATCAAGCAATAGCCACCATTAAAGCTTTTCGCGAATGAAGCTTTAAAAAGTGCACATATGAGTCTTATTCTAATGGAATGGCGATAGCTGTACGATATGCATAACAGGTTAGTAATAGGTACGAACCTATATATAAGAGTGGTGAGCACTTGAACCATGCTAGCTCCAGCTTTAATTTTTGCGTAAGCCTCCTCTCCGGTTGAGATACCTCCAACCCCAATAATAGGTATCTGCAAATAAGAGTATTTGCTTGACGAATATATTTGACTAAGATTGCAATTAAGCACACTGTGTTTAGATATTACAGGATTCTGATAAAGTAAAACTTACATGAAATTAAATTTTACAAAGAAAAACGAAAACCTAAGTGCACTTTTTTTTTACATCAGACTTAGCACGAAACCATTTTTTCATATTGTAAAAGTGCGCGCCGTGACAATTAATATGTCATAATTCCTGAGTATATGCGTCCCAAATTTATATATATGAGATTGCCTGAGATCGAATAAATTGCAATTCATCGGTAGCAGCTTTGTTATTCACAGCATTTTGATGGCAGCAACAAGGGGCCGGATTCCGAGTAATAAGTTAAGCCAGATAGATAAAGAACGCTCAGCGTCGACTACGAACAAACCTAAAGAGTTGTCTAATTCATGGAAGGGCGATGATAACACACTGAAAACAAACTCCACACTCAAGGTTCTGGTTTTTCACCCATGCGCGGACATTATGAACGTTGCTCCACCGTCGGTCCTATCAATCGAACTGTCGCATCTGGACTACACGGCGCTTGGCAAATCTGGACTACTCTTCAGCTAGAACCCACCACCTACGCCCAGGGCTGGCCCCTTCACCAGCTCTTAGGAGCAGCGTTTTGATTTCTGCTGAACCGGCAAAACCGTGGCTTGCGGCGGACATGAGACAGGCGACGTTGAACGCGATATCAACAGCGCATTGTAGTTCAAACCGACACCCTTTGAGAACCTACTTGAAAAGTGGTTTCCGGTCCACGTGAGTACTGCGCCCGCAGGAGGCGTTGAGAGAAGGTTTTTATAGCTTCATCGAACCCTTTTTTATCAGGGCTACTTTATGTCTCCGAGGTCTTTGACGGAACGTCATAAATGCATGCGTGAAACTACCTTACCAGGGCTGCGCAGGCGAATTTCGAAGCTTGCGCGGTACCAGGGCTTAGGAACATCAAGCAGGAATAAGTTCGAATCTGAAAGTTGTGGCGGGTGGAGGCATGAACGTTCAGCAACCGATCGCATATGCTTCAACTGCGGGGAGCAGAGTCATTTGAAGGGCTGGTGCCCAAGGCCTCATCTTTGTAGAAGCGCCAGGAAATGGGAGCGTCAATAACCTGTTTGCGTCTGAGGTAAAATTTCCCTGCGGGAAGGTAGGTCCTAATATTTGATTTCAGAGCACACGTAAACACATTTCTTTACAGGTGATGGATAAGCTGCGCTCGGATCCCCTCTTCTACGATACTCAGCACGCCTGGCTGACAGTTCTGGGGGTGATTAACGTTGCAGTCGACGACAGGCCAAAAAACTGTTTCCCACTGTTGGCAACGTCGCACGGGTGCGCGAGGTCGAGTATCAGGTGCTGCGGAAGTTTGAAAGGATTACCCTATCAGAATACGATTCTGTTGACGCCAACGCTCGGGAACTTGAAAGAATATCCTATCAGGGTGCTGTTTTCTCGATGACAATGGGTTAGGTGTGGGGGGTTGACAGCAAGCCCATTCCTTCGGTGGGCCAATGCGGGGTCAATGCGGTAATTTTTATCTGAGAGCTGGAAACAGTCCGGACATCTGGTCAGTCACCCATACCGATCTTGCTCAGTACACTATGCCAGTCGGCAAGTTGCACCCGCAGAGAGGCAGATCCTGTTGTTGTTTGTAGTAGTTTCGGTGAAAAGAAAAAGACATATGTTTCTGCGTTCCCATTAATTATTGCAGGCTGAACTCTACCACAAAATGAACGTATGAAAGGCATCATGCAGATATTATAAGTTGTACCAATTCGAATGAACGGCATTCTGCAGATATTATAAGCTGTACCAATTCGAGCGGATGCCATTCGGTCCCGCTGAGGCACCCGCGGCGTTCTAAAGGCTGATGCACAATTTGAAGCACCAAATGGTTCTCGTTTGCCTTAACGATGTCAAAGACTGCTTTAATTTTGACACTTACATACGCCACCTGCAAAAAATACTGGCGGCCATCGACTCCAGTGGCCTGTGGCTAGACACACAGACGTGCATTTCCGCAATATAAGAGATGGTGTAACTAGGCCACAGAATCACGGACGTCTGAATCCTTCCGGGCGATCCCTAAGAAGGTTCGGGTAGTAGAAATTCTCCGTTCCCATGTCGGTTAGGCCAAGTAAAAGAGGGCGCGTGTGTCATTGCCTACACTATCCATTCAGTTGACGCCGAGGCTAGAGGACACTCTTGCAAGACCGATGTTTGGCGGTAGTATAGGCCGTAGAAAGTTTCTTACTTGCATGGGTGACACTTCCAGACTGTTAGCAACAGGTAACACTTCGAGGTTATTAGCAGCGTTTCTCTGAAAATAAGAGTGAACCTTTAACTCACTCAAAGTTAACACACTGGCTCTAACCTTGCAGGAGTACGACCCTATCAACCTCAGTCACTTGCGGGAAAGTCGGCGTATAGGCGGGTGGAAGACATTGCAAGTCATTAAGAGAGCATTTCCTAACTAGGGCCGAGCTTACAACGTGGGTCTGGGAGATGCAGGCCCGAAGTAAGATATCACCCGTGTAACCTAAACCCAAAGCAACGCGATGTCAGCTTCGGAACGCACCTTTAAGGAGCACTTATAGGACCATCAAAGGTTCCAGACGACGAGGTTGTAGACTTTACGAGCCCCTCATAGATTCTAGGCTTTAAATCGTATTGTTGGTCGATTATTGCACTCAGTTTTGTCCAGCTTGCGGCAGTCTGAAGGGCGACGTCGGGTGTCGGGGTTTCAGCGCCATAGTAACGGACGAGGCGACCTATTTCATGTTGTGGCGGGTTGCAAACAACTTGTAACAAAATCACATCGAACACTCATCAAGACGACTATCAGACGCCCACAGTACAGTGTACTAGTTGAGCACGATTCGAACGATTCCGGAAAAGCTCGGATTTCCAGTAGCGAACGGACACAGCTCGCTCCAGAGGTTGCCCCCTAAAATAGCGTTTTCATTCAATATATTCAGAAGCGACAACCTGGAGAAAACGCCGTTCTGTTTGGCTATCGAAATGTAATGGCTGGAGTAACTATACAGAGTGGAATGGTGGGACGCGTACAAACTGCCCTGAAACCGACAATGGCGAAGTTCGAACGAAGGAAATCTGCCCCGTAGGAGTTCGAGGACAGCACGAAGGCACTCGTATACGTAACGCCGTGTAGCTAGCTACTCTATATAAATAAATGCGCTTACGCAGCTAGCACGATCGATTATATGGAAAATATTCATTGAATAATTAACGATAACCGAAATCTAATCCAAAAGTAACCAAAAAAATAATATGATCGAGTCTAAATCCTAACCACTCAAGCATATCTAAATAATGTTGTTTCGAATTGAATTGGAGACGTACCTTGCCCTTAGTTAAAAGAAACATATCGGATATGGCTACTGTCGACAGTGCATGTATTGGTTTTCCACTGAGACCCCCGATTTCATCGGAGCCTGCCGAAGCGAGTTCCTTTGGTCGTCGAATTGTAGTGTTTGATATTATTAGACCATCTACCTGACACCTACAAAGCGATAATTTTATTTAGTGCAAAGTCTGCAGAACTTTACTCCGTCGAAATAATAAAATCCTCGTAATTTATATTTAGAAGTACACCTTTTCTGTTATTTTACCAATAACTTTTGCAAGCCTTTGGTTCCAGTGTCCTTGCATGCATGCAGAACCCCTTGGAGCTGGCTCGCAATGCATATATATATATACACATAAAGGGAGACATTTGTTTGACACTCTTTCGAGTGCCCTGCGTTTCGAGTGCGCTGCGTATCGCCTGCATATTAAGAGCTAATTATATTGTTATTAGATATTCTGTGCAGACGGTAAGCAATGAAACAGCGAAGAATACTCACTCACTCATCAATATCACTTCAGCAATATCTTTTTTATCTTCGTCCGAGAGATCCGGTGCGATTTTAAGGAGAATCGGCACCTTGACGGAAAGGCTGTTTCTTGTGGAAATCACCTGGAGTATGCAGTTAAGTGCTTACACTGATACAACCGAGACCTCTAGCTAAAATGCTTAAATAGCACAAATGGTGCTGAAAACATCTGAACACATTGTATGAAATGAAGACGCCTACCCATAGGCGATAAAGGCCTATGGGTAACAATTAATGAAATTGAGAAAACCGATGCTTATAATGACTATTCTTACTACAAATTTATAGGTATATATAGGGCTCAGTTTGTATGCGTGTATCTGTGTTTGAATAAGATGCATATATAAACCATGCATATGACTACGGCATTAAATCATAGGAATAAAGATTCTTGAATCGCTAAGATCGAAGGTATACACAAAGTATTTCCAGTTTAAAAACCCAAATCCAGAGGATCGTGAGCTTCATAAGACTTTTATATCGTAGTACGCCTGTAATGAAAAATATGCTGTTTTTATTGTTTTGTTTTTACATTACCTGTACCTTTCTATAAAGGTGCTTTCTATAAAAGTACAAACATTACTATACGATTACTGAAGAAGCCAGCATTCTTCCAACCTTAGAAAGGAGCTCTTTCAGCTGATTTTTGCTCTGCAGTTGTCGTAGACCTGATGTGTTCGGAGACGAAATATTCACGACAAGATAATCAGCTTTTTCTCCAAATTTCAACACACCTAAATTCAAATTAATCACTAAGAAAGTAGCCTTGGCAAGTAACTTTACGATTTGTTTATAAAGGCAAAACCATTTGAATTTCTCATATCCGCACTTTGAATATGTCAAAACAGTTATTAGCATAAGACCATTTTACTACTTCATAATAATCAGACATATTTGTTCAACTTGCCGCAAAATAAGGGCATTGGGTAATTTGCAGCTAAAAGACCTTTTGAATAGTCAGCGGCTGCGTCCTCGCTGGTTTTGTTTTTGCCCAGGTTAATGCCAACAATTTCCTTGGGTTTGCGCTTAGGACTAAACAAAGTCTTATCCAGTTCTTCATGACCACAACTGTTGAAACCATATCTGAAATTAATTGGCCATCTATTAGATGCTTGCATCTTTGATAGATCATCGAACCGATAGTAAAGAGACTCTAGGTAGAGAAGATCCGCACAGTAGAAATGTACACCTTTAAACCCAAACCATAAAAATGAATAGTTATAGGTGGAATATAAAACAACAATTGGCCTCTGTGGCGCATAAGTGCATCGTCCTCACATATATGCGCATTACATATGCTCAAGGTATTGAGCTAAAACGCTCCGACACTTGTAGAAAGAATAGACTGATGCAAATGAGTAGACACAATTATATATGAATCTATAAAGATTTAATTGTTAAGTGACATTGGAAATAACCTGTTAATGATGGCTTGGTCCTTTGGAAGGCGGAAAACTCTCGGCCGCTCATTACCCGGCTGGGGCATTGGAGTGACTGAACCGACCTGCAATACGCATCGCACATAAGAGTAACAAAATAACAACTTACAACACGAAAAGAGTACTTCAGGCACAATGGCTACAATACAGTTGATTCTATGAAGCGCACAATATCTTGTTCGGGCCATAATTAAGCAATTACGGTATTCTATTCAACCAACGATCTTAAAAAAAAAAAGAATTCCGTTAAAGAAATCGGATGAACCTCAACAAAACCGAATCCCCAATCAAACAATCCGTTCACGGCTTCGCCATCTTTATCAAATCCAGCTGCAAGACCTACGCAACTCCTGAAGTCGATTCCAAAAAGTCGAGTTTTCTGGAACATAAAACAATATAACATAACAATATAATAAACCGTATAGAACAATATAAATGAACCCATTTATGCGGAGACCAAAATTAGCACGCCAGAAAAAAGTGCGACAAAAATCAAAGTAGTCTATGGATTAACGATAACAATAATAGTAGACAATTGGCCTCCTTTTATACCCACTCAGACCGCCTAATAGAACCTGAAAAATAAGGAATAGTCGCTCAAGGCAGTGAAATTATTATACTAAATAGGGAAAAAGTAAGCTTACCTTGCGATAAGACACAAATCTATATTTAAGAACAAATCTAGATTTATGCTCCAGAGAAAGGTAGGTTTAAGTTTAGCCCTACTTCCTAACAATAGACTTTAGAAATAGGAACAATAGAAAATGTTGAAGTCACGTCGTGTTTAACTGTGTGCCTATTTTTGTGCAATCCTATATTTGACTTACTTATTGAATGAACAAGCGTTTTGGTGCGTTATTCTTGAGAATGGCACAGTCTATTTTAACGATCATCTAATATCTACTGTAGTTCGCTTGGAAACTAACCAGTTCGGGGTAATCGGTGTTCCAATTAGGCAGGATCCGATATTTCGCAAGCAACACTCCAGCGCGATGTGCATTTTCGGGTTCGAGTGTACGATGTACCATTGGCATTAAATAATTATCGTAAAATCGCTGCTCACCTTTAAGAATACAAAACGTAGCGAATGCACCTGTGCCTCCCAATGACAAAGTCAAGAGCGACTTGAGTTTGGATGAAGCCTATAAAACCAACGCAAGAAAAAAAAACAGTTTATTAACGAAAATTAATCTAATCCAAATATTCAAACAAATGTTCATCTTGCAAAAACGATTCTTCGAGTAATTCCGAGGTTCTGCTATTAGATTTAATTATCGGAACGGACCAATAATGCTATAAGCTGGAGGAGACACAACGGGCGCTTTTGTCCAATACAGGTTTTCCCATAAACTTAAAGGGATCATGTAGGACAAAATATAGCTGAACTTCTGGGCTACAGTTTAAATAAAGACTACTTATTCTAAAAGGAAGCTGTTCGCTATGATGTAATAAAGTTTTCAGACATGTTCGTTGTGCCACAAGAAAAAATTTTTTGACATCATAGACAGACTGTAAAATGCTGTAACACCCATTGGTCCTACTTAGAATAAGTATATTGCCGCAAGAATAAAAATATGGGTGTTTTCTACATCTAGAACTTACTATTTTTATTGAGGTTGTAAACATTAAACCTTTTGGAAAGTATTTAATCTCAGTATGTAAGATTATGTGCAGTACCGTTCTGACGCGACAAACAATTGAAAGTTATTTCTAAATTACTCTACGTGCGAAAAGCAAGCGGCAGGGCCGAAGCTTATGTTTGCTTCTGAGAGATCTTCTTTGGCAGCACCGAAACGGTTCTAAGATGTCGCCTCTTCATGTGTTGACGAAAAAATTCAGTATTAATTTGCGCTAGTCGCCTATATTTATCGGTCAATTGTCGAAATTTTATCAAATTAGGTTATGGATCATTAAATACAAGCAATGGTTAAAAGCGCTTCACCATAAGCTAAAACACAGTCTAGACAAAAAAAAATATTAGAGATGGATTGTCTGTTGAGCGTGTTTCTGAGTAGTTAAACATACGTACGGCCAGCATCGTTCTAATGAACTGAAACAAGTCACATGCAATCTGTACTGTTAATATAATTTTAATCATCTTACAAGACTATAAGAAAAATCTCTAAGTATCTCTCATACTCTAAAGCTCGTATCACATGTAAATTGATTGCCAGCCGCAATACATGCACGTGTGACTTCCTCGATGTCAATACAGGCACTGACGTTATGAGAGATTGAGCGTTCTGAAGGATTTTGTTATAGTAATGACTATATTATATGATTATTTCTATATATTCTATATTTTCTAAAAAATATAGCTACACATAATAAGTAATAAGTAATAATACACAAGTAATAAGTATTACTTTATCAATCACTACCTACTATAGGTAAAGGTTGACAACTGAAAAATAATGAGCTAAAACTGGTATTGCACTCTTCCAATCATAAGTTGCAAACGAAATTGTGTCGGACAATATTTACGTAGATCTGCTACACTTATTAACTGAGCACTAAACTCCTTGAAAAGCGTACACATTTTATAAGAGGCCTATTTCACTTTTCCTATTGCTGTAAAGTAAACCATGAATGTTAGAAGTAAGCACGTTTGACACACATGCAAAGCAATAAGGGTTGCTTTTCTCCGTATTACTTATTTCTATCAAACTAAATAACTTGTTTTAGATGCATTGACCTTACAAGTCAGCTGACTTATTACGATTATAATTTAACATAAAAGCTAGATATATTAACGCAAATGCCCTTTTTCCATTATATATATATATTTTTTTTTTTTTCCATTTGTTGTATTTTATGTATTGTAAATTTAAGCAAACACGCTTACCGATACATCTTTAAGCCGTCTTTCACGACATACCTAAGGGACTAACTGTCCATAGTTATAATGTAAATTCATCAATAAATATGGTGTAAATAAAAGTTACAGAAACTGTTGTTTGCTAAATATCTTGTACATAACGCCAGTATAATGAAGTTACGAAAGGATCTTTGATTATTTCTCACGTTAGAACATTAGCTCATTTGATAATATGAACACTCACGCAGTAATTCTAGATATTCATGAATACATATTAAGCACAACAAAAGCAGGCCGAAGCAAAAAAAACATTCCAGCAGGCTGTGATTTTTTACTTCACGGAACTCAGAAGGACTGTTATTTGCGCCCTTATTAAATAGACGATCGCTAAAATAAAGGGGTTTTTTAGCGCCTAAATCAGGCTTTTCGGGTTGCCGTACAAAAGCCGGCTTGCACCTTCAAGACTGTTGCAGAAAGGATGTTATGAATCTATCCTAAACCTTCTAGTATATGGAATGAACGTCCTAATCGAACCGACCAAAGCTGTATTTAGCGACCTTATAAAGCGGCGTGACTAAGAAAAAGAGTTTCACTTTTCACAGTTCCTCACGCAAAAAGGTTTTGTTAAGAACAGAAGAGCTGTACTGTAAAGAAATAGGGTCCTCTTATTCGTGTATTACTCCGCAAATATTATCATAATGCGCAAAAACGTAGTATGTCAATCAACATTAAAAATTGGTTGAGCTTTAACGATGTATGGAAACGCGCACTTATGGAGAAACACGTGTCTGTCTAAGTAGTAAAACGTTATTTTAGATGATTACCGGAATTACTCCGCGCTACAAACCTCGCCATTTTAGCTTTGGTTGTCCCCGTTTGTGAATTATCATTTATAGTAAAAAGTTATAAAAAAAAATTATAAAAAAAAAGTTATAAAAAGGAAAGCCCGCGGCAACATTTCAGAGCTCTTAATTAAAAAATGTTGTATATTAGGACAAACCATTTTTATATTGTGCTGGCTTTGCTTGCTTTTGGCCTCACCAGATCGAACACTACTCACATTACCACAACTTGTTTTGAATTTCGAATGATGCCGCGCATCAATACCGAAACCAGACAATCCCTACCATGCGTCCTGCTCTAGAATCGAGTGGTCTTGCGGGGATGCCACAGGCAGATATGCTTCCTTAATGCAAGACCATCTCTGTCTTTAAAGCTGTTGTAGACTGCTTAAACTATAATTAGGATTTAGATGTATCTATAATGGAAGACATTTATTTGGCAGATTTTTCAAAGTTTTCACAAGAAATTTAACAAAAAAATATGTACATGTAATTACAAAATTATAAATACTAACCTCAAAAAAAAAGCCTTGCTTCTATTTCCCAAGACTCCTGAGCGGAAGCCAAAACCAATACAAACGTCATATTGCGAGAGAACTATGCAACCTCTGTTTCGAGTCTTGCATCCGGTATCGCCGTCTGCCATTCCATCAGACTGCTGTTTCACTGCACGAAACGAAATGTATCTATGCCCTACTACGAACCTAGACCACAACATGTCTTTATTATATCTATTAGCTACCATCGAGACTCTATGATAGTAACTAACAAGAGAGGAACCGGTTGGACTTCGTGAAATTAAGTGAATTTAACGTCAGGTATCTAAGTAAGATGAAATTCCTGCGATGTAAGTCCCATAGACGTGTTCGGCAAAATGAACAACAAAAGGTTCATTAAGATATTCCGATATAGTAATTATATGGATATTCAGGTGAAGGAGAAGTACAGCGAACTATTTTTGTGTCATCCTTTCTGAGGAAAAAAAATCTGTACTCAAATATCTTACGAAGATAACAACAATAAAAATCGCTTACATACTAAAAGCGCTCCAAACGACCGGGCGTATGATAACTTAAAATCAATAAGCAAAGGTTCACTGTTATGACTGTTTAGTATTTTCTATTTATCTCATACGTGACACATCATCGGGTTGTATCTTTGTATATTTTTCTGACTACGAAGCAAAGCCTTCAATTCTTTTAGCCTTGAATATTAAACTGGTAATTATTATACTGAAGCCTTGAAAAGAGCTTTAAAGCACACTTCTCGAATGCTTATTTCATTAAATGTCTAGCTTTCAAAGCGGCGAAGAATTTTATAGGATCTTCCTTTCTTGTAAGATTTTTCTTTTCTTGAATAATTTAGAACAACCTATTACAAATTAAGATGACCTTTAGTTTTATCCACAGTTTGGCACTATCATGTATTGAGTATCGCATCAACGCATAGCATTGTTACGCACATTGTACCCAATATCCTTGAATAAGTTTCTGTAAAAAAAATGCACGACCATTGCCGTGTTTTTAAAACAAGTTTTCTACATAAAAGAAATTATTTTAGACTGGCAACGGCCGAAAACTAGAGCTTTCAACATATAAGGATTTTCACGTGGCAGGTATTTAAATCATTCCGAAGGGTGCTTATGTATGTGTAACAACATAAAAACAAAGTAATGGAATATAAATGTGTCAAGTTTTTCGTAGTAAAACGTACCTAAGATATTGTTGCAGCGCAAACGCATATTAGATTATATAGTTGATACACTAACGCTTTCAAAGCTAAAAGACCGCTCCTTTTAATAACGAAAAAAATTATCGCATTAAATATAAAAATTAATTTATTCATTATTCATTATTCGTCAGTATTTCATCAACATTGCCTTCATTTTAATATTTTAAGACACCCTTTATTGTAAAGGTTCTCGATTTGGTATCAAAGAAGTGTTCCGAGATCGAGCACAATTATGACTGATTCTAAGGTTTTCCTTAGCAGTATACAAGCCGTCACATATACACCGCAATTCTTCCAACCATTCGATAAAACGTTCAATAAATTTTTGTCTGTGCAAGCCCGTCAAATTCCCGTGATCTGAACAAGTAGTAAAACTATCTATCTTTACGCAGTCTGTTTCCGATCTCCTTCGAAATATATATAAGAGCAATGCTAAGGCTGCCTTCGCCACGCTGCGCTCCGTACTATGCTTGACCCAGCCTTAGGCCGTAATATTTAACACTTGTGTAATAGTGTCAACTTTAAGTTTAGAATAACAGATTCTAAATTTAAAATCGTTCTACAGAGATTACAAGAACGCAAGTAGTGAGTAGTAGCAGCGGTAGAAGGGCTTGTTGAGCAAAACCGACGCATGGTTTTTTTTGTGGTAAGCCCGTAACTTCAATTCATTAATCTCCTTCTCAATTCGCACATTTTAGCTGTACAGTTTTTACATATAATGCTAGTAACGAAAACAAATTCTTAGCATCTCACTATTTCATTTTTACAAATAAGAGTAGCTATTATATTGATTCTTTGAAGATGTCCGAGACATTTGTTGGTAGCCTTGGATCAGCACGTTTTTTTTTAGTTCATTGTAAGTAGCGCTAACGGATGACAAATAGTTACTGTAAACTGCCTTTAATGATTTTATTTGCGAGATGCCTAAGTATCAACTACCTTTTGCGTATTTCCCTGCCAGGTAGAATAGAAAGTTAATTTTGCATTTCATTTAAACGCCATGTACAGTGTACTGATATCGCCCGAAGGGAAAAGTAGATTGGTCTCAACGATCCGTCCCTGTAATAGTTTAGTGGGTGTCGTATTTGATTTTTAGTTCTATGGACACGTGATAGTGCAGCTTCGAATTCGGACACAAACGCACTTCGTTTCGTGCTGGGAGCTAGCCGTCTGATAGACTGCCTTACGAAGATGCCAGGCGTAAAACTAGAAATAATATTTGGGACAAAGTTGAGTGAACCAGTCGGCCTAGAAAATGGGCTCTATTGACAGATTGACGGACGAACAAAGGCTACTAATGACGCTACTACATATATTTGATAGAATAACAAATATTAGCACTCTGGCGGCACAAATGGCTATCTCGCACTCTATAGGATAGGTATTATACCCGGAGTAGGCATGATGCAGCGTAAATATTACAGTAAATGTCGCAAGTGTTTACGGCAATCTTTGTGAAACGTGATGATCTTTTGACTACATCATCAAAATATGTATGTTCGTATTTCTTGGATAATACAGAGCTCTATAAAAATAGTCACTTGGCGCATAATATCGGCCAGCTAAACGAATGAAAATATCTTATATATGAGTTACCATTGTTCTTATGGCAACCACTATCTGGACACATGAATCAGGAATTCGTGTATTTTGATCAAATGAACTAACATAAAAGATTGAAAGCAAAGTAGTGTTCCATATTAGGTGATTAAACGTTTTGAAGGAAGGAGCCACTAAAAAAAACTTTCCGAGGATGGCTTTTTTTATACGTTGATAACTATTTCTGAAAAAGAACGGATCTTCAAAGGAACCTACTAAATTAGGTGTTTACTCCTAGAGCCTTTTTTAAATAAGTTGACCTTTTTATATTTGTTGCTACCATCTATCATACAATGTCCCTGAACAAGCATGCTACGCCCGCTGTCACTTAAACAGGTGTGCCGAGAGAACTTAATTACTAGCTATATAATCCATGTGTATATATGGCATTTAGTTTTGAACGGTGTATATATGTATTCTATATTCATTAATGTACAACACCCTTCAGCTTTGTAGGGGCAACTATTTACAGGATGTATATATATATATATATATATATATATATATATATCATTCACTCACTAGACGGTATGCTCCAGAATCGTTGTAGAAAGTACATGACAGTCAATCGCACTGTCCTTTTTAATCCTACCAGTATTTTTAGCGTGTTTTATTGGAAACACGAAACTCGATCACGTTTTCTTCCCAGTTTATATTCGAGCAAAATTGTCTATTTCTCATTAACACTATTATTAGCACTACTACTACTGTCAGACGAATCTCGATTCAGTGTGGCCATTTGACGTGATGTCGCTGTATAGAAGGCTTCCTTCAGGGCTTGCTGGGGGAGGCACATAGCCTTCTACACCGATTCCAACGTTATAGTTGTTATACTGATACAATGCTGCGTCGGAATCTTCGCATGCATCTGTTGAGCAGGGGGTGTTTGGTCTTTGACCACGTGACGACGTTGTTGCAAAGCGACTTCTGCCTCGATTGCGTCCCCGCCGGGCGGGCATCGCTCCGCCAAGAAACGATGCATCTGAGCCAACATAACCCCCAAACTGGCTTGACGAACACGTCGACGATGGGACAGAGCGCCGAGCTGTCGCTTTGTGATAGAACGATGACTCGTATGATTGGACTGTAGCCGGAGATGGTGGTGGGTCGTAACGGTACATAGACGTCTTCTGGTCCGACGAAGTGGCTGACGAAGCAATTGAAGGCCCGGTCATGATAGTGTGACCGGTTACTGATGGCAGGCTAAGACCTGGTGGGTGAACATGATAATGAAGCGGCATATCTTGTGGGGTTTTCGTGTCCCTCTTACCGCACAGGGTTAACACAATGAGAATGACCACCACAGCGATTATGCCTATGAAAATAATTGGCCAGTGGAGCCCTGCCGGATCACCTAAAAGTCAAATAGACCTTTTAGAAAATAGACGAATCTCAAAATAAAAACAGTGTATATATATGTATATATATATACTTGTTTCTTATGGAATGCGAGTAACTAAAAAAAACAATAATGGACAATTATAAGAAATCCATTATACTTGTATGTACTTCAAGATATGCGTACTCTTGTTATTTGACAGTCATAAAAAAGCACTGTAAAGAAATGTTAATGTTATTTGCTTATTTATTTAAGCAGTCATATAAGAAATCAAGTTTTTGCCCGCATCAAACAGTCGAACAAATATGCCTCTTTTAAAAATTTAATGAAGTGCGCATCTAGTTTGTAGTTTAAAACAATATTAGCTATTGCCTATTATAGAAGCAGTGAGCTGGATGCAGTGGTACGCATTCTTAGATATCATTGAACCTCTCCCAAATACATCTTAATTAGTTGACACCTATTTCCAACTATCGCCAAACGTCACGGAATAGTATCTTACTTATAGGTTGTTAAATGTATACTTACTTGTAGAAGTTAGAATTTCATTGGGCTGGCTAAGCAAGTAGCCGGCTTTACAGGTATTGTTACAGCAAGAGAATTCATCCGATCCATCCAAACAGTCCTGAGATCCATCGCAAATCTTCGAAGCGTCTATGCAGTTCTGAGAGCCACTATGACACTGAAAGTGTCGTGTCCCACAGCATGAGAGCTCGTCGGTCCGATCGGCGCAATCGTCAATATCTGTAATATTAACGTAGAGCATATGGCTATAAACGCACTCATGATGAGGAGAAGGGTGATGATGATAATTGACGTTTTAAATATTCTTTCTTACTTGTCTGCTTTACGGCATATTTGATTATTATTATCAATACATTAGCAAGTAGAGTGCAACGAGAATATCACGTACGCACCATCGCACATTTTATCTGGTCGAATACAGACGTGACGACCGGTCGCCTTCTGACATCGGAAGCCGCCCGGGCAGCATGATCCGGAATTCTCAAGACTACCCTGACCCGTACCACCTCCATCAGTTTTACAATCTTGCGGTTCGCAATCGATTTCATCCGAACCGTCCGGACAATCCCGGTGTCCATCGCAGACCCGTTTTGAGGGTATGCACTTGTCAGCTATAATTGAAAAGCAACGCAAACCATTCATACTATGCTCTCTGTAAACTCCATCCAAGAATCCTCACTAAGTTAACTTAAAGCCTATGTACGTATGCGTTCAAACGCAATTTAATGAGGGGTCCATCAAATTTAGTTGTGGTTTACCTAATAAGTAAACCTAAGATGTACGGCGTTATTACGTGAATCGTATGTTTAAGAAATGGCCTTATATTCAATTCGTAAGAAACCATACGCGGTAGAAAATGATTTTGTATATTTATTTTATCCACTATATATTGTAGGAATTTAAGCACATTTATGGTGAAAAATTTTCTTTGTATACGCATAAATACAAACCTGCGGAAGAACATTTAAAATGATCAACTTCGGTACAGCAATCTAGCTCATCGCTTTCATCGAGGCAGTCCTTCTTGATATCGCAGCGATCCTCCAACGGGATGCACCGTTTTCCACCACTATGACAAGTCCATTCGTGAGAGCCACACTGAGCTACATCGCACGAACCTTCGGCGTACTGCGTCGGGCAGGTACAGGCAAATTTGACGTCGCTTTCGCCATGCGCTAGACATACATGTGAACAAGGACATTCATGCGGCTTTGACTGCGGTAGGTCTAATGGCGGTGTGTAGACATCTGTCAGATGCGACCGTCGAGTTATGAAATCAGGCTGCTTTTGGCCGGACTTCTTGTCATAAATCGAAATTTCTTGACCGGCACGAGACATCACAATAAGTTTAGTATCGTAAATAGAAAGCGCGTATGCATCCACTTTAGTAACCACAGTGTTATGGAACGTGCCATCCAATGCCATGCTATAAATGGTTTTGGTCTCCGGATTCGACCAAAATACAAGGTTATCGATTGTATCTACAACGAGATCCGATGGCATCTGTTTATCTCCTTCAAAGATCTTCTTCAAACTGGTCCCGTCGAATGAGCAGCTCATGACAGAGACACCGTTGTTGTTTTGGTTGACGAAAACCAGCAGCGATTTTTGCGGGTGTACTGCAGGCAGTCGGGGTTTCTCGAGAGCTACAATTACGCCGACTTGCTTGAAGTTTCCCTGCGGCATTAGCCTTGCTATATTAATTGTGTTCCGATAACTGCACACCCAAAATAATTGGCCAGTTAGGGGGTCCATCGCAAAGCTCTCTAAATGTGAACCATTGTTTGTCGGCTTGAAGGCCGATCCAGAATTTCCGCCATCATCTCTTGAACGAAAGATCTCTTCTCTCCTGCTGTCAAGCCAGAAAATGTAGCCCGAGTAGATGTCAAAATGGAGAGAGCGAACATTTCGCGCTTCAATTGGTAGTACGATATCCGGGCTATCCTCGTCAAGTAAAATCCGACTAATTGAGTTTTTCTGCGCGAATAGGAGGACACTTTGGGGGAGAACGCATGATCCGACATTTGGTTCGGAGTCGCTGAGGAAATAATGAGTGGGACATGAACAATAGTATGGTTTATCCTTTGAAGGTGCAGCTAGGCACAAGGACCCACAGTTACCGTTCGACATTGCGCAATGATTCCAACCGAGTTGCGACGGCCGATGCATAATCTTTAGGTCGGCGATGGTCTTGCCTTCATGCTCTGACCATACTTTGACAGCCAAGTCTGGACGGCCAACAGGTGCAGATACAACATCGGTACTGCCATCTGTAAGGAGGACAGTCCCACCATGTACGGCCAAACGATTAGCCCTAAACTTAGCGCTCCAGAGAACCGCTCGTCTCGATTTGCCACTGAGTTCGGCACTTTCGATGCTCTCGCCATCGCTCCAATAGATTTTTTTATCAACGGGGTCGAGGCTAAGCGATCTTGCCACTGACTTTGTATCAACCAGCTTGGTCCTTTTGGAACCATCGAGACGACACCGATCAATACGAGGGTGCTCTCCAAAACTATCTACCCAGTACAGCTGTTTACCTAACGGATCTACAACTAGTGCTGCAGGCTTCATATCCTTCCACAACAAGACCTGTTGAATCAAAGACCAACAAAGGGAGGCGACAAGAAGATTTAAGTTGCTTAGAGAAACATAGTTACAATGTATCGGTAATAACTTAAAAAGCAATGCTCCTAAAAGACATGGGGACCATAGAATATTCAAGTCTAATGCCTTCCTAGAGAGTTACATTATCCAAGAAAAAGAAGCTGTCAGAAAAAATATTTTGAGTTCAAACAAAATTCGAACGGTGTCTGTTTTTGTTGCTAACCCATTTTTTTGCCAAATCTAAAACCATTTTTTTCAACTCTCGGTCATGTCTTATCCAGCTGTAAGTCGACTTCGACTTTTCCACCTCCGGAGATACGAAAATAAAAATCAGACAGTCTTTAACATACCTTGCGATAAGCTCCATTGAGTCTGCTCATTTCTAATCTGTTCGAATCGTTGTCCGTCCAGTAAAGGTTTCCAGTTAACCAATCAACGGCCAAACCAACCACATTTTCAAGCCCGTTTTTAACCACAGCTTCAACTCGGCTGGGCCGCTCGAGGTATGTCCGACAAATGCTCTGCTCAATTGAGTCTACGAAGAACACGCTACCTTCAGCCCAGTAATAGTCGATCGGTCCCACAGCTTGAACTAAACAGAAGAAGGATAATTATCAATCCATGGTAAGAATTAATTAAACAGAGTGATACAGTCCTAGCAGACAGAGTTAAGAATGGCAAAACAGAGATTTATAAACCGTAAAATTTACGAAAGTGTTGATACTAGAAGGCATGCTGTGCCGACAAGGGTATGTTTCAAAAGTGACATGGCTAGTTCAAAAAACATAAATGTAACAAAGTTAAAGCCAAGTTAAATCAGACCATTAATGGGTCAATTAATTTAGATGTAAAGGAGCTTTTTTATTTAAAGGATATCGCCAATTCTCATTGAAACCCGAAATTACCCTGACTAATTGTGTCCGAAGTCGCTGTGCGAAGACTGCTGTTGGACATTAGCTGTGCTTGAGTTAGTCTACCATCACGCGATGCTACCAACAAAATGGGTCGATCCACAACACAGCTTTTTCCGTCCTCAGTCGACGTCATGTTGTCTGGACACGCACACACCTTACCTGCAGGCGTGTTCAAGCACAAATGTGAACAGCCCCCTCCGCCGTGGCAAGGATTGCCCTCAGAATCATCAGCTTCAGCGTTCTTCTCATCGACTTCACTTCGGATTCCTCCCGCCCAAAGCATCATCATATCTTGGATATTGGACAATACCACTTCGCGTTTGCCCTCAGCGATGTCAAACCGCTCAAGGACACCAAGCTGCCACTCGCTCCAGTAGAGGCTGCCTTGGTGCAGCGTTAGTCCAAACATGTGCGGCACATCTTTTTGTAGAATCCTCCTCGCAGATCCGTTCATATTAGCTTCTTCCACACGATGATATTTGGCATCGCCCCAATACATCTTTTCGTGTACGCAATCAAGTGTTAACCCATTCGGCCATGCAACTTCAGTGTCTATTAAAGTCTCACGTTGGTTGCCGTCAACGTAACTTCGTTCGACCCTGCCTATACCCCAATCGGTCCAGTAAATTTTTCCGCCACCAGAATCCACAGCAATGGCCCGAGGCTTTATTAGTCCTTCGGAGATTATTGTCCTCCGATATTTTCCATTGAGTAGAGCGACTTGAATGCGGCGTGCTTCCGAATCCACGAAGTATATATTCCTCGCTACGGAATCTAATGCGATTCCATCCGGTACGAAGAGGTCTTTATTAATAATACTCTGCTGTTGAGTTCCGTCAAGCTTTGCACGGTTAATACTTTTCGTTATGTCATCGGCCCAATACAAGAAACCTTCCTTCCGATCGAACTCTACTGAGACGGCATGCTTCACTCCACGAAGCGGTAACGACTTAAAATGAAATGACATAAACTTAGTTAATTTAAACGATCTATACGATTTATGTGTGAGTGACTGAGCCAACTCCAATAAGTCAAATTCACGATTCGAGCAAATTTAAACCAAACCACCAAGGATCGCATTTATTTTCAAAAACTGCTAGGATAGGCAACGATAAAAGTACCCTTCTACCTAAATAAGTGGTTGATATATAAACGTAGCTCTAGTATGATTAGGCTCACCGGTTATTTCGCACGTTTAGATAATGATCCCCATAAATAAACAGCGAATATCTATAAGTAAACTGCTCGACAAGGTCCCATTTATGCATGTAAGTAATGTTAAAATTAATTATTAATGTTTATTGTCCAAAAAATAAGATATTAATGAAAGACAATCAAATTATATGTCAAGTTGGAATATACCTACCACTCGGGTATGATCTGACGTGTCGAGTGAAATGCCTTGGATTTCCACCTTACGTGCAATAAATAACATATTTCCCGCGCCGTTCTCACAGTTCCTCTTATCGTTACGAAGGCGAACGCCCGTAGGACATGCACAAGTGCGTTTCGTTGAAGATCGCGATGTTAAAAGGCAGAGATGTGAACAACCTCCTGATTGTAAATATACCAGTACAAAAGAAAATGAAGCCATATGGTAATGTATTGTGAAGTAAAGCAATTAGTGAATATATTTAATGCATATACAGCGCTGGCTGGTATGCGTATGTATACATAAGAACCAAGTTTAGCAGTAACATTTGGCTCGATCTGCTTAAAAAATGCACAAATCCAAGATACAGTTATCAGTAACAAAAATCTGTATACGTTAATTCTACAAGTGTATACGTTAATTAGGAAATAGACTTAATAAAGGAAAATAATGCGCCTATAATTGGAAAAGAAGTAAATGGACACTAATTCTTTACCGTTATTTTCTCTACATGGCGAAGTTCCGTTTATAGGTTGTTGGCTAGATGCGTAAAATTTTATATCCAGCACAGACAAATGCAGATCTGGCCATGCTTTTCGTATTTTGCTTTGACCTGTATGGAAGACAACAAAAAATGCTTTTAAATACATAGCATAAATAATTATAGCGGACAAAAATTAGAACAAGGATTCCACTAAACTTAATGAAATAGAGAAGAGCACCTGTTAAATCCATAATGTTACCTGTTAGCTCAAAGTATAATATTTGTTGAAGCCGATCTAGCTTTACATAGATTCCCAGTAGCAACAACTTTGGAAACAATTTTTCTTATCTTTAACGTCTAGTCATCATTATAAAAAAAAAATATGTAGATATCAGCGCAATTTTATAAACCTGTTAGGCACCCACAGAACAAAACGCCCATAAGACTCACTTCAATAACAAACACTGCACGTACAAATCTATTTGTATGTGCTCCGTGGAATAAGATAGCTGAAGAAATTTGATGTTCAGAATATTATTATTAGGTCTTAAAACGAAAATTTCTGCTTGGAAAAAACCCAAGTTGTTATGGAATATAGGACTATAAAAATAGAGTGACTTCTATTTGTTTTACAGTTGAAGAATACTTGAAAATACTAGGTGAACAGGTGTAATGAACCCTTAATTAGGCGTTGAAAGCGACATTTTTGAAACTATTTCATCAAACATTTTATAGGATTCTATTGACAGGATATATTACTTCGTACGCACCTGTCTTGAGCGTAGTATATATTGAGTTATTTTGCCAATCTGTCCAGTAAACGTTTGGTCCCATGACTACAATTGCATAGGGATGCCCATCATATTTTTGTACAACTCGTCGATCACCGCCGTCAAAGTTCATGGAGTAGACTTGAGACACTTTCGCGTCGCTATAAAACACGCGAGATTCTTCAAGGTCGACGGTGATTCCATTGGGCCAACCGAGATCATTTGTGCGCACAATTATTTTCCTGTCGCTTGAATATCCATCCATTGAAGCTCGTTCGATCTTGGCCTTTTCACCCCAGTCGGTCCAAAAAACAAAACCGTGACTAGGCACCACCGCGATGGAACGTGGTAGCTCGATGTCTGTCCTGTGAAATGAACGTTGAATCTCAAAATGTTAACCTCCTAGTAGAGAGAAGCGACAACGTATTTACTTTATTAACAACCATCTTCTTATCACTTGAATTTGATGTATAAGCAATAATCCAAAATATTATATTGTAATAGGCAAACAATACGAATGATATATCGATTTAGAAGAACTAAGTAGCAAGCTAAAAACTCAAGCATCCCACACGTGGACTCGTTTTTCCTTCATCATTTATTTATTTTAAATTTAAAACGTTCTCTTTTTTGGTCAATAGAGATTATTTGGCTGATAATTATAGGTATATGTTAAAAAAAATTAGCTATAAATAGATGGTTTCATACCAGTAAAGAACCTTTCGATGTTTTCCGTCAAGTTCGGCCACTTCGATGCGGCGCAGCTTCGAGTCTGTCCAGTAAATTTTTAACGTGACCCAGTCACAAGCCAATCCGTCGACCTGACAACAGGAAAAATGAAAATAGTGCGTTTAATCTGATACAATTTAAAACCCTTTAATGCTATGTTTCGTATCAACACCAAATAAATCCTTTTGGGTATTGTCGACGAACATCGTAAACAGCGTGACCATTTATAGATCTCATCGAAGAATAAAATAGCGAAGCGTTGTTAGCTTTAGTCCAGGAAAAATTTAACTAATTGCATAGATATCGTGGCGCTAATAATCTTTTGTACTGTGCTACCGTGAACATCATGCTCTTTATGATTGCTATGCAATGGTGTAATTTGTTTGATCTATATCAGGCCTATAATATAAAAAGGTAATATCGTTTTAACAGTAAAAGCCATCGATGGAACGTTTGGATGCCAAAGGATGCTTCCTTTATATAACCCACAAATAACAAAGGACGCTGCAGTGAAACAACAAAATACATTGTAAGTCACTTCAAGAACCTTTCATCCAAAACTCTTGAGTTTATATCACATAATTGAAAAGCATGTATATATGTTTATAACAATGCGTCGCTAAATAACTTCTAATAATAATATAATAAAATAATGAGTGATAAATCCTGATGAGGTTATTTGCTAGTTTTTTTTTTATCTAAGTCGCTCGCATGAAAAATGGAAAATGTTCCGTTTCCAATTTTAATCTACTAGCAATGCTCAGTATATCAATTGTAGTCAGGCGTATAATTATGCCTTATATACGCGGGCTAACTTACAAATATCACACGGCCTGACTCATGGTATTATAGTGTCGTTTAAATCAAGCCAAGCCGCGGTGCCCTGTCAGGTACTGTGCGGGAGGCGTGCTGTTATTTACAGTAGCCCCTTGAAAAAACAGCGGAAAAAGTCGAACTCAAAAATAAATAGAAGAAAATACGAAAAAAGGTATCAATGTAGAGAATATTCACCCTAACTTCATACGTAATTCGATTAATTATTTTACCTGTCCGAAATTGTTGATGACAACTTGATGAGCATTCGGCTGAGTAGGGGTGAATGCCCCAAGGACCGAAGAACTGCTTATAGCCGCAGGCATCGGAGCTCGCATGATCCTGTGGTGCTCTACATCTGTCCAAAACAGCGTACCTGAAAACACGAATTCAGGCTTCGTACTAAGGTTGGCCATTTTTGTTTTCAAAATAGCTTACTGGCCATAATTAAGCATATGAAAAATGTACAGTAATATAAACCCTATTTTATGGACCAAGAATAGACTATTAAGCATGACTTGGAATCCATAAACATACGGTATTCTGGTAGATGTAACAAAATCAAATAAAAATTAAGCAATTGTCTGAACAGTAAGTAGAAGCTTGTGATAATAACATCGCATGTGATTTCCGAAATCGTTTTCCCGCATACCATCAAAGTTTCGTCAAGCTGAATTTAACGTTATTATGGAAAGCGCAGATGTTATCCATCAACAATATTTTAATATGATGCTTAAGGGTAAATTTACATGGTATGGGTGACTTGGCTAATAGTCCACTGCTAATCATTCCAGTTGCTCGAAGATAACTGCTGGGAAGGTCAATATCATCACTTGTACGAAACACATCTACATACTATTATTTGTTCCTGTACCAGACGTTTGTTTCCTTACAGGTATTCCAGTGAGGTCGTCGAATACCTTCCTCTTCCGAATCCTTAACCCGAGGTAAAGGTAACGACAATTATCAGAAAAATCTCAAGTCAACGGCGTGTTAATATCAGCTCGAAGATTTTCATCTGAACCCATATACATACGTTAGACTCGCTCTACTACTGCTATCCAAATCACTGGTACAATGAGACTTCGAAAAAATTATGCATACTCAAAATATTTGCGATAAAAATATTAGCTAATATAAAAGCTGCTATGGTTAGGTCGCACCGAACAGATACGCTGTATTGGCGAAATTCCGAGAACGTGAAGATGAACTTAAGGGAGATTATTGCCGCTTTTTTCAGCAAGTCAGTGCAAATTGCGTGTTACAAATATTGTACACATTGTTATTTCTATCGCGACAATCAGTCACTTCATCCTTCGGTTTGACATTGCCAGTTGAGTCTCTTCGGGATGAGAATATAAATAAATAACGAACTTCTATTGCATTCGATGACCTCGATTCGATGATCTGATCCAAACAAACAATTCGAATCATTCAGGTTAGCCTTTCGAGTATTCGACTGCGTCAAAAAATTTACTACATGGTCCACCTGTGGCAACACAAAATCCTCTTTCTATAATAGGTCGGTAATAACCATTTTGAAAGACCTGCCAATCAATACTGCAATATCGGATAATATGTACTATATATTATATAATAATAATAATAATAGAAAAATAGCTCAGGTATTCTCAACTTCACGTGCATTTCCGCGCGCGTGAATTCAATTCCATTCTCGCCCTTAGTACAATTCGCATAAATGAAATATTAATTAAAGTATATATAACAAAAGTACAAATATTATAATTAACCAACAACGCATCTATTCTCGCGCCTTCTAGTTCGTATAGTAACTTCGATAACTTGGAATGCCATGATGATTTTTAACAAATATTTAGTTGGAAATCGGTATATATTTGATGATTTAAAAACGTATTGCACAGGATGAGTAAAAAAATCTAATCTAATTTTGTGGTTTACGTCAGTTTACTAATCGACGTTGACTAGATGTGTGTTTCATAAATTTCTAGTTCATTCATGATTTAAAGATGAACAGCTGGACAGTTTTGCAACAATAGTCCACGTCGATATAATCGAGTGGAAAATGTACATAGGGAGAAACAACTGTTATTGCAAATCTACACGGCCAAAAGATCGTCGGAGTACCACAGATAGGAGCTATGGACAGTACTTCGTACATGTAAGAACTTTGAGGATCTTCTAGAAGGTAACACTAATCCAGCAAAGAAAACTAATTCGAAGAGAAAGCAGTCAAGGGCGCCAGTATTATTCCGAAAAACTCTAATCTTTTCTGATATTTTGAAACAAATCACTTTTGTGGCAACTTCCAGATATCAAACGCTTAAGTTTTCTGAAACCTATGCAAGATAGTTGTTTCATTTCTAGCTGTCTCAATATTTGTCCACTAACGGTTTCCCTTAGATTTTACGTTTCATTGCGAAAAAATCTCGCGCCTTTGTAGGGATTGAGTGTCAAATTCTATGGTTTCCTCAGTAAAAGAAAGCGCCGTTAGATGCAGTTACTACTGGCTGGTGACGTCTTCATATTAAGCCGTATTTCCATGTCCAGTTTCCTCTAGCATTCTCCTTTCCTTCGAGTTGATACCGGTGCGTTCTCACCCGAGACGCTCCTAACCCTTCTTAACTGCTTAGAGCTATCATCTTTTTCAAACTACGATTTCTTAGGAGAGCACTCACAAGAAGTGGAGTTGTTGCGCTATACATCGTAAGCCTGCTGTAGTATACAATAGCAAAGCCTCTCGCTGAGCCGATTGGTTTATAACGATTTGGATTCCCACTATCTCAACAGAAACCACTGCATTTACTTTGCCCGGGTTTCCTAAGGATCCGCGGAAAAGCCCGCCATTGCATTCGAACTCCATACAAAACCGAGGTGACTCATTACAAGAGTGATAGATAAAAAGCTAAACTCTTAATAAACGCTATCATTATAGTTCAGCAGAAAGCCATAGACTTAAAACTCAGTAGCACATATAAATGTTCGCAAAATCGCATCATAGACTTACTTGCCTTATATTATTTTTAAAGCCATTTCTATGGCACTCGTTATGTTAAGACAAGTTAGGTTTTAACTTATCTTAACATAACGAGTGCCATAGAAATAGCTTTCATAGCAACATTCATTTGAAAGTTAGGTTTTAACTTTCAAATGAATGTTGCTTGTACCTATTATACAAGCAGTTGTAACGTACGAAACAAGTAACAAACAAACATTTATTTAATTAGATAATTCGAAATCCAAATCTATACTCCATATTCAATTTATAAATATTTGAAATAGTTGATTATTTTCTATGCAAATCAAACTGTATTAATCGAAATCAGTTTTTACGCTAACAACTCCTTTGTTGGTGATAAACATGAGGAAACATTGGCAACAGATTAGTCATAAATATCTGACTGAGTCACAATAATCGTGTAAAGTGGAAAACTTCTACAAAATCCATACAAGCTCACTATTGAAGGAGTGAGGATATTCTTTTTCTGACAACATTTCACTGTAGTAAATCTAACTGACCAGTAATATCGCCGATATCACAGTAACTGATTCTATTTACCAGAATAATATATTTATTCTTCGATTTAGACTTTGAGTTTAATGTTCATGCTGTCTCACCTCAAGCTCCGTTGGTTGACTTGCACGATTCGGAAGAAGCGCAGCAAGCGCTAATAGTGAGCAGAATCATCTATTGGCTCTTATTTGCAAGCACACAAGGTATATATCTTTTCTAAAACTACTGCCAACTATTGAATACGCTTCATGCACATCAATGTAAGTAAGTAATGATATTTTTTTGCCGAACTCAATTTGGCTTGACCATTGAATCGCGCCGCATATACTACACTGTAGTACTGGATTGAGTTGTAGTCTAGCATACCTGCTGAGTAGACAAACGACAGGGCGACAGCTTCGTTGGTTTTGTCCACAACCACCTTCGAAATGTTTCGTTCTACTTCGAGAGCTCGAATATCCTTTCGGTTAGCTATTAGCATAAGTCGTACTTCATTGTTAAAGTTGCCATTATTCCCAGTGCTTACACTACTACCCCCTGCTCCAACTGCTTCCACCAAAATAATCCATAAGGATAAAGCTAACACTGCCAGCAGGGACATGCAAACAAATGGTCCATGACAAGCTCCCCCGGTCTCGACCCGTCGTATCCACATGATCGGTGCCGGAGAAGATTCACTACGCACAAGACTTCGCTCGTATCAACCTTGTTCCTTCTGACATTTGTCCCCACTCACGCGACTGAGCCACGCAAGGCAACATCGAACAAAATTCATTCGCAAGGTATTTTTTTCTTCAGGTTTTCCGATTGCAGGCCACTGCTGTTTCACCGCTGCTGGATATTACCAAAATCGACATTCTTCATAGCGTCTTCAGCAACGCCGAGTGTTCCACCCTGTGTTCCCTTGCTTACACCTCGCGTAACTACTATGCGCACCATCTTCCATCCATTCGACACTGGCGATAACGTTACTTTATTATTATTGTTGTCATAATATAGTTACACACTGTATTTGATCCACTGGGGCTTAGGATGTCGAACGAAACAACACAGAAACGCTTGGTGCTCGCTGCGGAGGATCTGCTATGCGGCGCTGCTACTGCTCGCACCCATCGCTTTACGACGAGCCTGTAGCAGCAGCAGCAACAACAACATGCACACGCTGCAGATCGGCTACACACACATACATACGCACAGATACGCAAAACCAGCAGCGACGACAACGCGACAAACGCAGACAAGCCACCTAGCGAACCACTTTCGAAGCAGACAGCCATCGGCCTCGTACCGCTAGTGCATGGAAAGCCCCCTATCCACTTACTTAGATAGCGAGTTAGTTAACCTGCTTGCCTACCTGCCCGCCGCCTAGCGGCTCGCTGCACAGCCATTCTTAACAGCCAACACCAGCATCGCCAGCTAGAGCACCAGGAAAGACACCAGCCTCCTCCTCCTCCTCCTCATCCTCCTCCTTGTCCTCCTCCGCCATCACCGTGACCGCTGGCAGCAGCAGCAGTGACGGCGACGGTGGCGGCGCTAGCGGCAACAGCCGGGACTGGTCTGCGGGCGTTGCCGCCTTCTTGTTTCTTGATTTTCTTTTCGGGCTTTTAGTCTTGAGAGAAGCCTACGAGAGTTTGCTGATGCGATCGACGCTCGTTTTCGGTCAGTTAAAGTGATCGTACTCAAGTCTCCACACGATCACAACTTGCCAACAGCGGTACTCGCTCCTTCGCTGCTAGGGCTGCGCTCATGGCGAGCCTGGCGGGTCATGATGATTTTCTCGTCAGCGGTTGTTTGTGTGCGCGCGTACGTTTGCTTTCTGTGCGCCGTTGATTCTTGTCGCTCTCACTTACTCTCCCTCCTTTTCTGTCTCTCTAACCAGAAGTCCTCGATAACAGCAGCAGACGTCTAAACTAGACGATAACTAAATGTGAATAGTATCAGCTTATTCAAGCAAGCTGAACACGGATCAAGAAAAAAACAAATGCATCGTTGAGCAGAAGAGACAGACTCTGACAGAATAAACACGAACAGCGATTTAAGTCAACTGAGGGAAGGGTATCAAGGGTAAACAAACGTATGGAACGAGAATGGAGGAGTGCGAGTCCTGGCTTCAGACGCAGCTGTCCTAATTCATAGCTAATGTGTATTCTGTCAAAACAGAATATTTGATATAAGGTCCGTAAGGACCCTGACAAAAACATCGAAGTCGATTCTGCTAGTTTTACTATTTAATGAACCAATGTTATTGCCGGGTCTTGTAGGAGATTTTCCCGCTAATGCTAAAACTTCTAAGGCGCTAAGGCGTGCGCAATAGGATTGATAGCCGTTGAAAATAGGGTTTAACTAAAGCGAAGACGGATTACAGTGCAGGCATAACGTGCAGCGATTCTGGTCTGACGTTTTTGTTCTATGAAAGAATCTAAATTAAATTAAAATAGACTTCGTAAAAACTGAGTGAGTTTCAAACCTTCGGAATTGGCAGGTCCGTGTATCTATTATGCTGTCACAGTAAAAAAAAACGTCGTTTAAGGCATTGGAATCGGCTCATCTATTCAGAATTTATATTGTAATAAAACTAAGCTGACAAAGTCGAAGTTGAGTGCAAGAGGTTCTTGAAGCCGAGGATAGATATGAACGTGAAGGAGCTAAGAAGACCGAAATTGGGTTCAGAAATCAAAATTCGCATATCGGAAAACGCTATAATCCGATCATAAATTGCATAATATCAATACTGAGTGCCATATTGAGCAAACATATGATGCGTACGAAGTACAAAAAGTGTTTTGTGAAATGGTCATTAAGACGTGGTTATGCGAAGCAAGCCTTTCGTTTCGGATGTAACCCCCAGGTTTTCGCTGACTTCTCCATTGTCAGAGAGAACATATATAACTATACGCTAATCTCTACCGCATCCTCTTACCTAGCCCAAATTCCAATATCAAGCTATAAACATTTGAACAATAGTGTCTCACTTTAGTGGACTTCAATTTAGGAGACAATCCCTTCTTCTTTGTAGATGGTCTCCGAAGGGGGTTTTTGTTTCGTTTTTTCAGCTCTCAGATAGTCCATTGCGAGTTCTATTATAGCTAGTAGATCAAGATTATGCACGTTGACTAAACACCGAGGCAAGTTCTTTTGCGATTTTCTAGGTAAAATTTATAAAACCAGCCTTGTATTATATAATATATCGATCGTTCTGGCCAACTTAGCTTTTTTTTTCACTAAAGCGCAGCTAATTACATGAATTATGATCGTTTCTGAGATCCTATGCAAATATTTACTGAAGTATTCTGACACAATGACAAGCAATGTGAATCTACAATGGCCTTAGCTCGTTTTATAAAATTTAGTTATCACACTACTAATAAATAGTAACATGGTAGCCAAATTCAAGGCCTCTTACACACATCTGTGTTACGGCGTAAGTTACGTGCCCAACATATGATCTCTATAGCGTAAGTTAGATTTCCATGTAGTCACATCGTAGGTAGATCCACGGGACAGTTCAGATAATAGACCTAATATTTTACATATTTCTGTAATTATATATACTGTCACTACCAGTTTAAATGCGACATAGGATATTAGTGGTTGACATAAATCAGTAGAAATTTTCATGTCAAGTGATTAAAATATATTCCTTAGACGAGCGTGCGTCACAATTTCCGCCTCCTAATAGATGAGCGATTGTTATAGTGGTAAGATCACGACTCAATATTCAGTATCAATGTAGGATTCATATACATTAAATTGATGATAATAAATGCTGGGTATCTCTCTTCTTTAGGACACAAAGCACCAAATGAAAATGAACTGAATAAACTTTAGATCATTGCATCAGGTTCACGAATCATGTAAATAGATATGAGTTCGCCAAGTGAACAACGATAAGAAACAATGTTTTTGTTTCTTTGTTTTGAAATAATTTTGATCTGAGTCGATGTCGTTCCTGGTTGCGTCTCATATTTGTTAAGATCAGAATTGCCAGAATAGCTTCAATAAAATATTCGATAGGATTCTCCTTTCGAATTCCACGTATTACTTATCTAACTAGAGCCTTAAGCTCTTATTCTAACATTCGATAAATTCCAATAGCTTTGAAATCTGTGTAGCGCATCTACAATGGCCACAATGCTTAAATCTCTGCGAAATATATATATACATATATATATACCTAACGCCTGTTCGTACAAGCTTAGAAAAATAATGGTACACGTAAAATCCCAGCTGTCGAGTGGGAAGTTACTAAAAAAAAACTCAAGTCCACGCGTTCTATAGAGTTCATAACACTTTGGTTCTATAAATCTTAGAACTCGCGTAATTTTAGCGAAAGTGGACTGGTCGCATTATAGCCGTGAAACAAACAGTTGAAAGAAATTGCAGTTATTTTGCACTATCTAGCTCTTCAATAAAACGTATAACAAACAAACATTTTAAAGCACAACTATTCTAGAACGTTAATACGGCCAATTATTGTACTTCGGTACAACGGCGTTGCTAGCAGCAGCATCATGTGCTTTCAGATGACGTCTGTTCAGATTACGCTTCTACAAAATATTTTTCCTAGTTCCATATCTGAAAGCCTACGTATAGATTCCGCTTAGCCAATATTTAAATTTAATTGACGTTTGATAGGATGGAAAACAACATGCACCCTGGTCCTAGCACCCCTATTTCCAGAGATTGGATCGGTTAAAAATTTAGCACAAACTTATGTGCCTTCTTAAAAATTGTAAGGTGTTTATATTCCAAGAATATTTTTTTTGTAGGAAAACTATGACAAGGTGTCTATATCCTTTAAATTTACATGGTCCCAGCATGTCCGACTGTTCTCAACCTGTATTTCAAAAAATACAGAGATTGTACGTTGACACATAACCGAAGCAGCATGAGCGGTACAAAAATGGGCGTGAAAATAGAGAAAGCGATCAAAATTCGAAATTAAATATAGTCTAAACTCGTCTATGGACCCCTTACGAAATACTCAGCCAAAACGTCTGTCTTAAGTTTAATGGCCATTACTAATGCAACATATTGATATGGGTCGCAATGTGCAATTGAAGTTCGTCGTAGGCGTTGCAGTACAACGCGCAGTGCTAATATGCCCGCCACTTGCATAGACACGAACAAGGCTTATTAGATAGTACAATATAGACGGGTAAGACGGCGTCTTGTGTTATTTTAACTTCTATTCTAAACGAGCCGTGTAAGCTGACAGCCACTAGAACTCGTTTAGTACAATATAAATAAAGTGTATAAGTCTCCACCCGTAAAACTAATGTGTGTATTTTGTTATCAGAACAAGAGCAGTGTTATCAAAAGTACTTTTTCAAACTGTAGGACACGTATGATAAAGGTTAAGTTTTACTATGTTTAATGCAAACAACGCATTCGACTGCGGTCTTTACTGGTTAGAAGTACGTTTCCTTAGTTTCTGATTATTTCAAATGCATACAAATCGCTTAATATATTGTACATGTTAAAAAAAAAAAAAACCTTTGTCTACTTCTAACTAAGTGTAGTCTATTGGAAATTCCATCCATAGTTATTTTAGTCGATGGTCAGCAAGCTTCTCTTCAACAGCTATGATAGAATATACACACAGAAGCCACACATGTATATTAAAGCGAGTCTTAGATCCCGCACCGGAAAACACTCTTACTCGATTTACCTCAGTATATTTTCACTCTCATCCGACATAGGCACGTCAGTTTCTATATAAAAACAAACAAGTACCGCCTTTTTTTTTTTTTATGAAGGATCGATCTGTTTCGTGGGAAAAAAGCTACGGAGAGCACGAATAATGATGATGACCACATAGCCGCTGATTATAATCACGATGTTGCTGATGATGATTAAATTGTGCCCCCTCCCTTCGGTTTTCTAACTTGCAAGCAATGAGACGAGGCTTTGGAATTGAACTTGACAAATTTTTTCTAGGCAACATGTCTACCGAGAGTGGGGCGTACATCGAGGCTGCTGGTCGATAATTCAATTTCTACGAGTCATAATAATGTTTAGCATAATTTGTTGTTATAGATCATATTTATTAGCAGATCTCTCACATCGATCGGAGCTAAGCGCGTTAAATAGTATCGCGCATTCGAAAAAGAGCCCCAGAAGCTGCGCGCCCGCAGACTTGCTTGCTGGTCCGATTGCTATGATTGTCGCTGCTGTGGAGAAGACGCACCTACTCCACAGCACTAGAAGAGTGTAGAAAGATGGACAAAGCCAGTAGAGTGCAAGCTAGCTATCCATATGAGCGAGCACAAGTCTATGGCCGCTGCTGCTACGATTAACGCTTCTGGTTCCTGGCCGTTGCCTGCTACCCGAGTGCCACCCGCGCGTTAGCCTGTCTGCATGCCTGCGACATCTGCTGTGCGAGCTTATTAGTTGCTTATACTACCGCTGGCAATGGTGGCTAGGCAATCACTCCTCATTATTCCGTTCATTCTAGATACGATGAGCGGGAACCGGAGAGCAAGCCGCCGCTCGACACGTTTGCCAAATCCCAGACATGGCAATCGCCCGCCACTAACCGAATGACACGAAATGAGCGGACAGTGGCGCTCGCTGCAGACATTTCAGCTTCGTATCAGCAAAACCCGCATCGTTTTCCCCTCAAAAACTCAATATAGCGTCTATAGTGAAGTTAGGTTTGTTCTGTGGTGAAAACCGTTTCCATGTCGACGCTGTGAAAAATGTTAATATCCTCTCTCGATAAACTCACCGCCCGCTCAGATGTTTGTGTCCCATAGCTGTGGCTGTAAGCCTAAGTGTTCGTTAGGCTTAGAGTGTGCGCCGAGTGCCCTGGTAGTGGAGTTGTGCCAGCCGTCTCCGTGACTGCAAAAGGTGAGTGTTTTTACGTGTGGGCGTCGCGTGGGCGGCCAGATTCGGCCTAACAGTCGGACGCCCCCGTGACGGGGGCGGCTGCTGGGCCTCGAGTCCGCTCGTCTGCTCGTAGGTCGCCGTCTGCTCGAACCCCGATGCTTTTGCTGGAGGGGCTACTGCTAGTGCTGCGTAGAGCAGCCGCTGGGCTGATGTCTGCTTCGGCGGTTGGTCTGCCTGCCGCCTGCCTGTGTCTGTCCGCTTTGCTTCCAGCAGCAGTAGTAACAGCGGCCGCCCGCAGCAGCGACACTTCTACTCATAGTCGTCGCTCATTGTTGAACCACTAACTTGTAGTAACAGCAGTAGTCATCTGCATCCGTAACAGAGCGCTTTTGTATTACACTTCTATCACCGACAACAACAACACACCCATGACCACCGCTACTTGACTCGAATCGATTGTGTGTTTGCTGCTGTTTTTCTGCCTACCTTCACCCCCCGACTACTCACTCGTTCGCCCGCCCGTCCGCCCGCCCTCCCTAGCAGCCACTCCGCATCCACCAGCCCGTGGCAGCCGCCGTTAGTCCGTTCCTTGGTGGAAATGCTGCTGGTGGCCAGTCGATGGTCGTCGTCATCATTCGAGGACGATGTCTGCTTACTGGGCGACATCAACCCGTATGACTCGTTACCATTTTCGCTAGCAATGCTACTATTCCCTCTGCTACCGCTAACCGTTGTTGTACTCTTTATGCAGTTACCCATTGTCTGCTGGGCTGCTACAACGATTAGAACGGAACTCGACTTCAGCTACCAACTCCCAATTGACAATCACTTCAACGCGAGTAGAGAGCACACAACTGCCAACCTTCTCCTTTTCCGCAATTGCCGTTGCCTGTCGGACTCGCATAACTGGGCATTTGAAGTTGGTCAGATGGTAATTGCTCGCTTTCTAGCCATCGCTGACGTTTGTAGCAGCTACTAGTAAATCGCTCTGTAGCTTCATTCAGACTCTAACTTAGTCCGTGCTTGATTGCACCCTTCTGTTGGTTATGTCCAATAACTTGCTGTCGGTGTCCAGCATCACTGTTTCTACCGTGTTTCAACCTACTGACTAATATCCATTGAGTCCAGAAAAAAAATTCTCATATCTGTCCTGTAGAGTCAGCTGTGGCCAACTCCATTTGTATATATATGGGTGCTTGATGAGCGTTGTTAACAGCGTAGCGTTATCAGAGGAAAATGAATGGCAACCGCAAAATGCGTGGATACACCATCGTTGCAACAACGTCGGTTGTCTACGTCGCTGCGTTACAATAAGCAATGCCTGCACAATAACAATATTAACGGTACAAAAACGTTGATCTTTATTTATCAGCAGTAGCAATAGATTATGCCATCGTCACCGTCATTCATTAGTAATAATAATAAAAAGAAAAAACAGTCGGAAAGAGCAGAATAACAGAACGAAAGTGGTAATGGCTTTCGAACGTGTAGACAAATAGACCGGCGGTTGTCAGCAATACATACACACGTATATATACGTATGCAGAAATACGTCGATAGACAAACAGATCAAGAGATTGATGCAGGTATACACACTGCTACATTTATTAAAGCTATCTGAATTATCGTGCAATGGAGGCGGCAGCTAATGGCAGGTGGACGCTTATTGCAGCAGAGCACCTGTGTCTTCGTATATCATTTTATACTAGAGCATTACGCTGCAGCGCCTCTTTTTGACCTCTTTCTATTGCCCCAGCACAAGGCAGAACTTAAACTAGGAGTGCTCTATAAGGCTCAACAGTGTGGCCTGTGTTTTACCGAGAGCGCGTATGGCCATCTTGCTTTGCTATTGTCCGTATGTCCATTGTCTCATTTATAAAGCAGTTGTTCGGCTACTCGGTCCGGACGCAACGCTATTGTCCGTCCCTCAATTCCTCGCGCTTGACCGCCAAGATGAGGCTGTTTCATATGTAGATTCATATATACTCACTTATAGAAGGCCGGGCGAGAGAAGGCCTCGGTAAATCTACACTTCTGGATGAACTGATCGTCCGCTGCCCTTTGCCTTTCTTTCGTTCTCGTAATAAAGGCATATAGTGAATGATAATTTGTCTTAATAAAGGCAATATTCTATTAACGCAGCAGGTAGAAATTGCGATTAGCGAGTGTAGACGTTTCGCTGTGTATCGTTGCAAGTACACTTGATACGATCAAAAGCTAACTATACTGCTGTATTGAACTCATTGATTTTTCTAGTATTTGAGTGCACAGTGAGAGCCTATTACTGATGAATTCCTCGTTGTAGTAGATTATTTTTTGCATTTGTGCGATGCCCCGAAGTCCGTCGTAGCGGGCCGATTTGCCTTTTTACGTACTGGATGTTAAACATATGGCATTTCCAAAGGTTTAAGCACCATGAAAAGCAAATATCTGCCAACATTATCTACATGCGTAGACTCTTTTAGAGCGGGATTTCCCCTACATCGATACCGCCGCCAGGGATTTGATGGATTTGTTTGAAATAACATATCTACACAAGAAGCAAGCCGTCCGGTTAGATTTCGACCTATAGGCGCTATATACTCAAAAATTTACTTCAACGCACAATGCGACGTATTATGACTGCCGCGTTATCCACTGCTCATGTGATCCAAACCACATCCTGTCTTCTATACCGCACGAAGCAAGAGTCGAACAGCCATCGTATAGTCATTCGCATTTGGGCGTGTGGCATGTTTTCGGTTTATTTCTTAGTGAGGCTTTGCGTGTGGCTGAGATACATGTTGATTGCGTCATCTGCATTTCAGTTACTCGTTCAGTTACGTTAGTGTTTTTTGCTAGATAACTGATAGCAGAGAGCAAATCACTTTCACTTGTTCCAGCAATCCCGAATAGTTCTTGATAGTCCGGACAGCCGATATATATAAAGCGAATAGCAATAGTCATAATAATAACAAATTGCTTCAAATTTCTGCGGATTTCTATAGGTACATGGGATCATAATATAATACCTGTGGTACGACCCGGTAAGCTCTAATTCCCTTTGATAATGGACAAGGATATTGCCAATCTGCCTTCTAGCAAAGGAAAAGTGCTCTTATGTTTTTCAAGTTGCCATTCGTACTTTTTGGATGTGAATTATTAATGACAAATCACCTGGTGCTTCTCATGACAACCGGATGGTGATATCGATGGTATTGAATATCGATTCCTGGCTTTGCTCTTTTGCAAACAACTACTCTTTGAAGTGCTAACTGTTGAAGGTCAAAGTACAATGCATCAGCATGGCAATCGCTTTGTTTGGATATTATAATGGCACGCAGTGCTCGCCTCAGTAATCCAATAGACTCGACATTAATTAGGACAGTACATTATTTGTATTTCACACCATAAAAATATGGCTATAATAAATTATCAAATACCATTATTATTATCCTCATGCGATGTTATCGAAAATATGTTGCAAATGGCATTTTCGACTATCTACGGAACTCCCACTGTGATATACTATAGCAGTTTTTCCCCTGAACAAAACTGCTCGATGAATATTGCCTTTACGACGACACACGTCTCGTATATACACAAGGATATTATATAGTCTGATCATTTTGGCCTTAGTATCTATGTATCACATTTAGGGTGATTTTTGTATTTTGCCTAGAAATAGGTAAACCTCTTTTCGATATACCGCAGCTGAAACATCTTTTATTGCTATTATTATTGTTAATAATAGTCGTTATTTACTGGTGTGTGTGCGTGTGTGTGTGTTTACACAGTGCAGCGGGGCTGTCATTTGAAGCTCGCGTTGGAGCGAGTGGTGCTGGTGGTAAGCCAATACGGGGAATGATGGTTGTTCCGCAAAGATTTAAAGTGGTCCTGCTTCCTACGGGTGGCTTACTAGAGCGCGGAATACCGTCTGGATGAATACAAGACTTATACAAAAATATGAAATCGTCTCTCGATATTATCGAAGTCCTGTCCAGCATATTGCTCCCGTGTACATCTCCCAGTTTATCTACCGAGTCCAACCATAACGCCGGCTATTCTGAGATGATGCGCGACATAACTGATTCATATCGATACAATCAGTGACAGCAAAATAATGATGATAGCCATTACCATTATAACTCTGTTAAGGTAAATTTAGTTATCTGTAGATAGCATAGTATTTTTTTTTTGGTTAGCTCTAATTTATCTTACTGTGTTCTACTAATTAAGCTTGATAAATAAACATTTACTTTTTTACGTACGGAAATTGAATGTTATGTAAGAAAACACGCTTTTAGAGACGGCATAGCGGTAACGCGACCATTTACCTTTTCGACGGGTGATGTTCGAACGTGTACGCGTTGCCAAAGATCAGCTATGATGAATAGTTGATTTTTGGCAGCGAGGAGACTAGTTCCATCGTTGTTTTTAGCATTTTTTTTTTGACCTTTTAAGCCTTAAAACAAAAATATAGAAAGCGGATGATTGAATATGTTCTACTAATTACATAGAAAAAATGGGATATTCTTGCAGTTCTTGGTCATACAGTTAATATGTGGTGGTTTTGCCGCCAGAGTTACATCTTAGCGGTTAAAGCGCATACACGTCTGCCTCTTTGCCGTCGCTGTATGAAATAGGTTACTCTGGGACACCAACGGTAATTTAAACGGCCGTCATTGTTCCATGTATTATCTATATATATATATAAAAGATGGTATTCTACAGTAACAAATACGTACACAGGCTTTCACCTCTGTCCTTCATTTGCTAAGAACTATTTGATGCTAAAATCAGTGAGCGTGTATGTGTGTGTGTTTGTGTGAGTGTGTATACCGCAAAGTTCTCTTCCATTAGAAACAGCATTTGATTTGCCTGATTTCAATCATGTGGTGCTATGGTACAGCGAAGCAGGTTACGGTTGCCTGTCACGAGTCTTTATAAATACTAATAAATACACTAAAATACAATTTGACATAGTGTTTTAGTCTAGAAATTTGGAGACCGTTAAACGAGCCCTAAGTATATGTACTCGAAGATATCAACAAATCTTAATATTGTATTTTGCCTTTTTTATTGCAGAGATCTAGGGTAGTCGCGCTAAAATTCGACGTCAGAGCGCAGGTGACGGCATAGTTAGTCCGATATAAGACGTAGAGACGAGAAGTTTTGCTGTTTCGTCCTCAGTTCTGTGTATTACAGTATTGAAACTAAACGACTCGTGAAGAAGAAGTATTGTGGTAGGGCGCACTTCGTTGTCGTCGGCGGCAGCAGCAGCGCAGGGGCTCATTGGCTGGCGGGCAATGAGCTGCAGTGCCGGGGCTGCGGCGACGACGACGACGAGGACAGCAACAAACGTATCGCCAGTAAGTGGTGGTGATCAGGTAACGGTGACCGGAATGGAGACACAACAGGAAGAGGCCGACCAAGGATCATCTTCCAGAGGACGAGGAGCGTCGTCCAAAGAAAAAAAGTCTATGTTGTCTATGCTAGCTGAAGTAGCCTCAGCTACATTGACCACTCCAGATGCTAAAAATCAGGTGATTACTACTAGATTAATAACATACTAACAGCCATAAAAAGCTGCCCGGGACAGTGAGACTTGTAATAAATAAATCAAATAATAGAATAGACGAGCTTTTGCATTGGTTCTGTTTGCTAGAGAACGCAAATTCGTATAGTTCTTATAGCCTAAATAACCGGCCACATTAAGTCTCTCTTACATGTAAGTGTTACTTGATATTCGTTGTTATGCTTTTTCTCATGATTTCGCTCATTGCAGGTGCCTACGGGTCAGCTCTCTGTCGACCAACTGAAATCCCTCAATTCGACGCAGCTTTTGGAGCTGTTCGCCGTGAAATTAGTTGATGAGGCAAAAAAAAAATACTCCTTTTCCTGTAAAATGCAGTTGTGTAATGTTACCTTCACTAGTCATGGTAAGCGTACCTCTCTACCCCTGGTGTATAGAGACGCTTCATCAGTTTCCTATCTGTGAAACCAGCAACAAAAACTCTAGCCATCTATCCAGCTTGTTATTTGTTTAACCATGCGATAGTAATCACTACTAGTAATGCGAGCTCGATTATCTTATTAGATCACAACAGACGGCAATGATTATAGCTTTGTTGTTATAGTGTGGTCGAAAAAAAAACAGTATTTGGTTTATCGTTTTGCAATTTTTATTGCTCTGCAGGAACTGAAGTTCGAGCTCGTCAACAGATGTGTGCACACTTGACCGAACATCTAGAGGAAATCAAGAAAAATGTAGGTGAAGAGGCAGATCACTGTATTGTAGAAACTATTGAAATGGAACATGAAGTTCAGCATCAGGAAAACCAGGAAGCTCACATGGTTGAGCAGATGGAAGTTGTGGAAGAGATTGTCGAGACCGGAGAAGATAGCGTACAGGTTATCCACGAGGGAAATGGCGAGCAAATTCTCGACGCGGTTTATGAAGTCGAGGAACAAACGCCCACAAACGAGTGTCACGAAAGTCATGAGCAACAACAGATGCTGGAGGAAGCAACCTATGAAATAACAGTTAATAGGAAACGGCGCCATAGTGCGTCTTCGGCCACTATGAGGTACTCTTCTAGCGTATCTTTTTTGGGCCCATTTTAATTTTTAGAGAAGACTTATACGATTATTGATAAACTGTTAATGAATTATTTTTTATTCACGCAGTCTTTCATGACAATAGCTGCATAAACCTAACATTTTTTAATAAAAGCTTTCACAAGCAGAAGAAAATAGGCCATTCATGGATTATCGCATTACAATATAGTTTGTGAAAATTATCTATTATAAAGCATGGAAACACAAGCTACCTTTCAAAATAGCTTAGCATTAACGCCTGGTTTTTCCTGAATGGACTGTATTTGCTTTCACAGAGATATGCAGTTTGGGAATTCGTATTAGGTCATTAACCTTCATTAAAATATGTAACTTTTTTTTTGTTGAATCATAATGCAGCGCCTCGGAACAAGAGGATTTCGAACCTGAAATAGTGAGTCTTGATGACGGGGAGGTGTTCTTTAAGCCTCGTCGAACGATGGATCCGTGCGAACAGGGAGCTCAAGACTGGAGTCAACTGGAGCAAATGCTCGATCACACATATACCCACCCGTGCGGACCACCGGAACAACCCAGACAGAAGCAGCCAACTCTGCGGGTTCATTTGGATGACAGTGGAGACAATAGCCTTAGTAGGTTCTTTGGCAACTAAACGAAAGTCTGCTCTGAGAGTGAAGTTCTGAAGCAGTGCTGAATATTACCTGAAAGCATCTATTTTATCCGTGATAAAAAAAAACTTGGCAAAAAATCGAATGCACCTAGTGAAGGCTGAGTTTTTGTGGGCAACTGCTAAGGCTGGCTGCCGGTCTCTCGGTTCCGTCTTAGATTTCTAATGACGTGTTTCGTACTTTATAAAGGTGTCGTGCATTTTTCAGGCTGCTCCATACTTCGTAGTCGAATAAACGAAACATTGAAAAATAGTAATTATAATACGTAGGTCAGCTCTTTAGGATTCTGCTTTACTTTCGAACAACTAGTGCTAATGGCTTAACGAATGAGCGTAACTGGGCGTGTTGCAGTCTTTTCGTGTATCAGCAGACGTCCATGGCGTTTGCAGGAACTGGTTAACCTAGTGAATTGGTTAACCTAGTGAATCGGACATGTATATAGATACTGAATATTAAAAATATTGACGTCACACAAATCACCGCTTTTTTGCGCTATAGTATACCAGTGTTACGAATAGACAAATAAGCTAAGAGACACGGTGATAGTATGGCGCATTTCATATGTTTTAAGTCAAAGAGCTATTTTTAAATATGCCACTCGATGACAGCGGCTATTTGCATCAATGCGTTGAATGAGAACAACGAAGGTTTATCTGCCCCATCAGGAAATAAGAAAGCTTTGCTCGAAGCGAATGGAGTGAACGATCAACGCACAAAATTCTGTCTTTACTGGAGGGTTTCAAGGCATATGAGATGCGATATAACATGCAGACGCTAGTTTACTCGTGTTATAAAAGGCTAATTGTTGTTGCATTTGTAAGCGATTTCGTATATTCTAAACGAGCTTTGTAGGACGAAAGCACAAAATACCTACGGGTTAACAATATGTAGCATATAAGCGACTCAAGGAAGAACTATTCTAAACGTATTCACAATAGTTGAGCTACGCACTTCGTGTCTAATAACAATCTATCTCCCTATTTGAACAGGTCAAGAAATATCTAGAAAACAAATTCGACTGACAATTCCAACGGCTCTTTGGCCTTCGGTGTATACCCCGCTACTGCCAAACATTTCGCAGATTCAAGAGGTTGCTGTTGAACCCGTGCGAACTCCAACTCCGCCACCTGCAACATCGCCGTCAGCTCCGACTTCAGCTCCGGCACAGACGAGGATTATACAGCCGCCCGTACGAACACAATACATTATTCAAGGAAACACTGTCACTCACCAAATGCCTCAACAGCACCACTTACAACAGAAAGCCCAACAGCAGCAGCACCAACAGCAACAACAACAACAACAGCAACAGCAACAGCAACAACAACAACAGCC